ACCTTATATAGAACAGGCTGGCTGTCTCCTACTGCAGTACAAGGTCTCTGAGACAGCAACGTGTTTCATGTTCATAGAGTCGCCTTTTGTCTCTAAGACCATCTAGAACCCTTCCCAAGGCTCAGGAAGGAAGGGATTCTGGGATTTCTTTCTACCAGAATGATTTCATCATCTTTTTATGTTGTGATAGTAAAATCACATTCTATATCTGTTCTGTTTCATCTCTCTCTTTTTTCTAACACTTGGAAGTCTTTCTCATTCAATTGTTAATTCAATTGTCTTTGAAATGCAGAAGGCATTATCTGCAGATTGCCTTGGGAGTTGCCTTGGGAGCCACAGGGTAGCTTGGTTGGAGATTTGGTATTCCTTTGTCCCTGGGGAGGATAAGCGGTGTTTAGTATTAGGAGGACTCCTTTGTCCCTGGGGAGGACAGTGTTTAGTACTAGGAGGACTCATTTGTCCCTGGGGAGGAGGGATAGTGTTTAGTATTAGGAGGACTCATTTGTCCCTGGGGAGGAGGGATAGTGTTTAGTATTAGGAGGACTCATTTGTCCCTGGGGAGGATAAGCAGTGTTTAGTATTAGGAGGACTCCTTTGTCCCTGGGGAGGATAGTGTTTAGTACTAGGAGGACTCATTTGTCCCTGGGGAGGAGGGATAGTGTTTGGCTTTAGGAGATACTTTGCAGCAACAACACTATGTTTCTGTGAAATTATGAAAGGAATGTGAGACTCCGTGGAGCCTCCAGTCTCTTTTGAGAGGAAGAAGAAAACAGTCCTTCTTCTGTGACAACAGTACCTTACAAAATGGTGAGTGACTGGTCATTACTTTGTTCTTAAAAGAAACATTTTAGGCTCTGTTCTAGAGTTACATATTAGACTTTCCAGGGGAACGACAATGTAATGGTGGATTTTAAGCTTTGCAGAGCATTTTAGTGAAAAAAACAAAACAAAGCAAAATAGACACCCTTAGACTTGTGTGTACTCTTGGCGGCCGCCACTCCTCCCTTGCTTTGGGAGTTTGCTTATTGGCTTCCAGCTAGAAGAGGCCTCCACACTCTTTCCATCGCTGTGGAGCTCCTGGTGGCCGGGCAGATTTCATGGGCATCAGATCAGGCCTCTAAATGAGGACAATTCCATGACCTGAAGTTACTCTTGAGCTAGCTTGTCTGTTACCGTTTTCTGAGGGACTGTTTGCTGTGGAGACTGGCGCATACCCGTATTACAGGTGTCTTTGTCGTCCTCCGAGCATTTCCTTGGGACGCTTTTGATGGCAGCAGATGGCATCTGATGACTCTAGCCTCCTAGGGGCCTCTTGCCTTCATTGCCTCCACCAGCAGCGGACTGCTAAGAGCTGCATACCTCAAAGTGCTGTGTTCTCTTTCCACATGGAGGACGGTTCCGGCTCTCACCTTTGCCTGGAGAGCACTGTTTTCTGCCCCAGTTCTGGGTCTGTGCATTTTGATCAGGGCATGATCTCTCACCGCAGGGTTCACGCTTGTGACTTGGAGATTCCTGCAGCTCAGTTCAGCAGCATTCCAGATACCACAGCTTGGGATGCTGGTGCACTTGCGTCTCTGGGAGATGCTTCCAACTGGGACGAACCTCATCTCTCATCTTCTCTCTTCATTGTGAGAGAAAAATCCCACAATAAGGCAGTTGGAAACTTACGTTCACTTCTGCAGCAGGACTTCAGCCCTGCCCAGCGTTGTTCCTGTTTCCACAGGCAGCCTGCCTGCCTGCTTCCCTGCCTGCCTGTCTCCCCCTCTGTCTTCAAATTATTTTCAGCCTGGACCTCTCTGTGAATGTCTTTGCCTTACACCTCACAGAGAAAATAGCCATCTGGTAGTCCTTGCCATGGCATCTGCAGGCGTATGGATACTGGCTCTTGCTAGAAGGGAAGGAAGGGCCGCAAGTCTCAGGCAGGGTAGCTCCCTGTGCAGTGTCAGCATTCCGTGTCTTCCCGTGTTCTGCGTAGCTGCTGTTCAGCCTCTTTTGTAGGCTCTTCTCATGGCCATTTGCACATGTTCTCATCTCTTATGTAGCGACCTCTGTCTTTAAAACAAAACAAAACACTCTAGGAAAAGTCCTGCCCTCCTCCCTCTCCCTCCTCCCTCTCCCTCCTCAGTCACCTCTCTGAAGAGTGGCTGTCCTCAAGATAGTTACTCCTCAAGGTATGATCCCCTGCTGTCTGGCCTTTCCCATAGATACTGGACTGGATCTACCCAGGGTCCTATAAATTAAGACACACTTAGGTGACATCTGTTCCACTTCTGGCTCTCGTATCTAGATCTCTCCTATTCTGTATCCGAATGACCTATAGATTATATATTTTCTGCAGAGGCTGGCATCCCAGGAGAGAAGCCAGGTCCCAGTGCATGCTGGTATAAAAGCTGGCATTCTAGGAGAAGGGGCCATCACTCATTGCATGCTGATATAACAGGTTGGCAAATGTTCACAGTCCCAGAAATACAGGAGAGTGTTCAGAGTCATAGACATCTGAGCCCACGCTTAACAGACTGATGCTCACATGGCAGACCCCCTCCTTCATCTAACATCAGACTCTGGCTCATCACAGGCGCTGTTCATGGTCGCTAGGCTCCTTTGATTTTGTGCTGATGGTGGGTCAGGTGGAGCAGAGCTGTTCAGTTTATGTTGAGCGGGAACCCCAGAAGAGAAGGGGCTACAGTTCCAGTATTCCTTTCACGGTGATGGTTCTCCTAGTACCACAGGCTGCTGCTGCTGGACCTTTCAGCATATGGACCTTTGGAAGCCGTTAAGGATCCAAACCGACGGTGCTCTTAGGTAGCTGTTCGCTCATACAAAATCTGGTAGCGATTACAGATATTTCCATTTTTTTCCCCTGTACTCAGTTGACTTAGCTCGTAGATATGTCTGAAATCTGCTTGCTTCTTTTTCGTGTCTATAATTGCGTGAGCCAGCATTATGTCTGGTCTCCTGGAGAGCCTTCCTGGGAAGAGTTTCTTTCTTCTTCCAGTTTCCCCACCGCTAAGTCCTTTGCTCAGAGCAGCAGATTCCCAAGAGATGCAGTTATCATTCTATCAGTTCTTTGAAGATGGCTAAGGAGCCACACCAAGGATACCGGGAAGGGGAGTCGTATGATACTTTATTAGAGAGAGAGAAGTCACTTACATGAGTAGCCGAGAACTGAGCTCAGCGCTCTGCTGGTCTCCGACTTTCAACCACAGCCCCAAGAGAGAGCCTGAGCCCTCCTTCTTTGACCTTTATCTCTGCCTCTCCCTCATGTACCTGTGCTGTAGGTACTGTGAGATCTCTACCTACAATTCCCCTTTTAGTCTAAAGAAAGATTTAGACTTGAAACAAATTGTCTCAAACATATATAAAGCATAGAAGGTGCTAAACAAATTATAATCTACCTTTATCGTATTTTAAGCATATCTATCCCATCTAAACCCTAAACTTTTCTGAAAGAGATGCCCAAGTCCTTCCAATCCCAACCCTAAAGAATTGAAAACTAACCCTAGCAGGTGTAAATTATCCTGTAATATCAACAGTAGGGAAAGGGGGCGTAGTATTCTCAAAATTACTTCCTGCTGAAATGGGATGATGATAACCTCATGGGATCCTGTGGGAAGAAAATGTTAGTGTAGTGAAAGTCTCAAGTGAACTAGCTACAACATTTGTACCGAGTCTCTGTTTGATGGGAGGTGCTTGATTGAAGTTCTAATCTCGATTGAAGCTCTTGTCTGAGACTCTGGCCAGAGTGTAGAAGGTGCACCATATCAGTTAATTAGTCGGGAGGTGTGTAGAGCTCTCTCCTTCAGTGTGGGGTGCTCTCCCGCTCGTCACTATTTCCAGTCACATGGTGCTACATGTTCAAGATGGAAGATGAACGCATTTTCTCTGTGCCGACTGTTCTTTTCCTGTGGGTCTGTGTTACCCTAGCTCTTTTGCAATTAAGTAGCAATGTTTCTTGTGTTCTTGTGTTTGCAGGGATATTTACATATTTTGTATTTACCTTGTGTTATGAGTGTTTACCTTAGCAGTAATCCTTATGTAATGAGTGAATGAAAAAGAGCCTTTGGTTAAATTAAGAATCCCAAGGCCAGGGAGAGAACTTGGCCTGGAGAACAGGGGGGTACCTCTGTTTGATTTCCTGTATGTTCCTTTTAAAAGCATTTGACATTTTTCCTTTGTTTTAAGCTTGGGTCCCCCTCCCCCTTTTTTTGAGGGGCTTTGTAAGAGGTAGATGACACATCCTTGTGTAGTGTTTTAGGGTCCTTCCATCATTCTGGATATTTCTGGATCTTGGAGTTGGAGGCTGAGAAAGCCACTGTTGAGTAGTGTACTGTTACCCAAGTGTGCTCTCCCTGCATTTGCAGCATTCTGTGGCTTTGAGTAAAAGCCCAAGAGAGTCAGAGTAAGATGTGAGTGAGTCTGTGGTCAGAGTGTGTGTGGCCTGCCGTCTTGACCCTCCCTGAAGCAGTGCTTGCCAGCAGGGCCAAACACTTGCTCTGGCTTTTGCTTGAGTCCCCATGATTCCGCCCATGTCCCTAACGCACTCTCCACTCTCAGGAGGACAGGGGGTTGTTGATGGTGAAGTCAGATGGCTCGTATTTAGAAGATGTGCACGGTTCTGAGTTCTTTCCTTACTGTGTGATAACCAGGGAAGGAATGCAATTGAATTTTAAATTTCTGAGGAGGAGGTGATCTCAGACAGAAGTGTTATGTAGTGGGTGTCATAGAGCCCTTTGTTTACTGATAGCCTTTGTGCTGTTTGAGGAGAGCTGTGGGCTGCGTTACATGTTCTGTGCCTGCTGCTTCAACCCTCTCTCCTGAAAACACTTACAGACGTGTAACTCTTTAATAGGTTGTACAGTGCCGTAGTTGTTATCTTGGCAGAATGAGGCAAACCCGCTAAATATGTTGATCATGTTACTTCTGGGTGGAGCGCAAGAGGAAAATGAAATACTATGTTTTTCCTAATACTGTGTTCTTTTGTTATTACTCTTGTTCTCTAGGCATTAAGTGTTACCGAAACCCTGATTAAACCCTTGGAAAAATTCAGAAAAGAACAGCTCGGAGCGGTAAAGGTTTGTGTCTAATTTGAGCACACTTGTAAACAGAACATTCTGGCGCCTTAGCTGTGACTGTATTCTTTACTCACATTTGGCAGAGTGGAGGGCATGCTGGGGTAGACCATCTGTTGTTTAATGTTTTAAATGCACTTTTCCCCTTCGGGGAGGTGAAATTGAAAACAAAACAAAAACACCTGGATGGGTAGTAAGCCATCTAGTAATCTTTGGCTAAATCTTGACAGGGAGCTTGCATTTCTTTCTCTGGATGGAAAGCTGTCTGCTAAAGTCACCACTGTGTGTGCATCTCTTGTTGCTTGAGAACTGTGACTGTGCTAGGCTTTGGTTAGGGACACTGCTCCCACACGATGCCGTGGAAACTGGGAAGAGGTTACTGTTGTTGGGAGGTAATTTCCTCGACTCTAGCAAAAAAATTACTGAGCTTCTATTATGTACAAGTGTTTATTGGAAGAGTGACCTACAGCCTCACATTCAAGGATCTGGGATGTAGCCAGCATTTCCCGGAATAATACAGCAAGCAGCTTTGCCATGGGGGCGGGGGGGGCTGAAGATATTGGCAACTTCTAAAGTTTGTGATATCAGCCTCGAAGTTAACCTGGAGAAATCATTTACACCCATCCTTTTCTCTTGTAACATGAGAAGAAGAAGTACTGTTAGTGTCTTGTTGACTGTTCTTGGCCTAGAGCAAGGAGAAGAGAATTTTCTCATCTGTCACAGTTCTCTGCACAGCGCTGGGGATGTGAAGGGTTTTTCCTTTCTCTTTATGCTCGTTAGATAGTGAAAAAAAATCAAATGCTTTTGGTACAAATAAATCTTGTGCCCAAAAGCTATAGATAGGCACAACACACACCAGTCTTTTTGTTTGGTATTTATAGAATCTTCTTCAGATTAGTTGGTATTTCTGTTTGGCCATATAATGTACAGAAAGACTGTAAGTTGAAGGTAGTGGGTGTCATCAAGGGTGCCCCGTGCCCTGCCCCTTCTCCTGACAGTATATGAGCCACAGCAGCCACAGCAGCTCGTAACTGCAGCAGGAGATGGGGTGCACCTTCCACTCATGACAGATCCTTGCCTTACCTGTGAGATGAAGGACCCAGCACCCTTCTGCTTTCCTCTGGTGTGTGATATAGAAATGAGTACCTTACATTGGCATGGGTTTTGGTTTAGTGATACAAATTTAAGGTCAAGTTTGTTATCATATATATATATATATATATATATATATATATATATATATTTCTATTTTTGTTTGGGGGTATTATGTTTATGCTGCTTATTTAAAAATGTAATGTATAATTAAGAGATACAAATTAATAACAGTCGAGCTTATAGTCATGTTAGTTAGGTTTTCTAGATGTATTTCAGATGGACAGGTAATCCTCAAACACTTCAGAGACATACAGAATATGGCATTTAAAACTTTCTTTACAGTGAGACACATCTGCTCCTGGCAGCACCAATTACTTCAAGAGGGTTATGGGCATCGAGGAGGCTCCCATGGAGTTTGCTTTCAAGGTGGCAGGACTAGCCTTTTGGGCAGGAAACTGCTCTTGACTGGACTGCTTGACTGTATAAACTGGACATGCAGGACCCATGGAGGAGTGACTGTTGAACTTGCCAAGATAGGATGGTACAATCCTTCAGGGTTCCCACTTCACAGAAGAAACTGCCAGATGTTCTACAGGACACAGAGGGAAAAGTGACTGACAAACTGCCAATACAGATGGAGCAGTTTCAGACTTCCTGCTTTGCTGAGAAGTCTGCCAGACACTCTAGGCCTGTAAGCTGAAGATGGATGCCCCAGTGTTGCAGAGGAACCTTGTGTGAATGTCCAGGCAGCCAGATGTCTCTGTCATTTTTAGAGTTTTGGAAGTTGCTTGCAATATACTTGCTGTTTACTTAGATAATATTATATCCTTCTGGGGTCTTAGATGGAGTTGAAGACTAGATATAATTATAGTTTTCTGAGGTTACAATAAAAGATTAGTTACATAAAAAACTTGGGACTCACAAAGATAGGATAGTAGATGATGGAGTATTTTCTTTAAAATTTCCAAATGCAAACGGACTGGGTATTGTAACATAATTCTTGCTTGATACTTGTTTTGTTATGTGTAATTTTACATTGTTGGAGTTGGAAAACCTTCCTTTTTAATTAGGAAAGGGAGGAAAGGGAGGAAAGGGGAGGAAAGGGGAGATGATATGGGATGCCCCTCTGTGTGCTGTGAATATGTTTTGTTTCCATTGCTTAATAAAGAAACTGATTTAGCCAGTGGTCATGCAGAATGTAGCTAGGCAGGAAATCCAAACGGAGATAGAGAGAGAAGGAAGGCAGAGTCAGGGAGATGCCAGAGCATTGCCGGTAAGCCACGACCATGTGACAACACATAGGTTAATAGAAATGGGTTAATTTAAGTGTGAGAGCTAGTCAGTCATATGCTGAAGCTTAAACATGCCTCTGTTTCATTGGCAGGCACTACACTAATAGAACATTCATTTCATACTTCAGTTAGATGGTGGGTGAGGGAGCGCAAGGATTATATTACTTTAATGTAAGAGCGATTTAACCAGTAAATTGCCTTATGTTTTTATTGTCCATTTTCCCCAGTGTGTTGTGTACGTTTCTTTCTTCTGTTGCTCATTAGTAGAATCTTCTCACAGTGCCTTTCCTGGCTCCATGCCTCCTTCACGAAGTTCCGTGTTGTTTGTTCAGCAAAGCAACTTGCAAAATCAGGGAGAAATTGCTGCGGTAGTGTGATGTGTGACTCAGGCTGGGTAGTGACCAAATGCTATCCCGAAGGCCCTTTTCTTTGCGGTGCCATTGTGTTTCTGACTGTAGGTTTTGAAGGGTTTAGCTCCATTCTTGGTGAGTACAGCATGTGGAGTGACTGTCTTGTCTGTTGATGTCCCTGGGAGGACACGCCCTTAACAACTGAATAGAAGTGGTTTCCTCTGTAATACAGTAATACAGAAATGGGTATGTTTTGCATTACATTACTAAACCTTCCAAAGACTGTGCATAATTTTTCTTTATCCTCTAGAACCTTCTACCTTGCCTTATCATAGAAGATGTCTAGAAAAGTGCTTATTTGGTTAATAATAATTGTGTAAGAACCAAACTTGGAGTTTAGGTACCTGCTCATGTGTGAGCGTGTGTGAGCATGTGTGAGTGTGTGTGAGCATGTGTGAGCGTGTGTGAGGGTGTGTGTGTGTGTGTGTGTGTGTGTGTGTGTGTGTGTGTGTGTGTGTGTGTGTGTGTCTGTCCCTGTCCCTGTCTGGTGTCTGCTTTTGGGACACCTAGCCTTGTTGTGACAAGCATGTACTTGTGTTCCTTTGGTGAGTGTGCTTACATGGGATAAAGCCCATAGTTTGCGGACTGTTTTGACAAACATCACAGAGCAGTTTTCATGTGGAGATGAAAACAGCATATTTAGAAGTTGGCTGCATCAGAGTTTGGAGATGTCAGGGTCAGCATTTTATCTTGTCTCCTCTTCTCTTCCCCTGTGTTGGTTCCTCCCTGCTTGCTCTTCTGTGAGCTCCTGGTTCCATCTGTGCCTGCATTCTCTAGTTTCTAGAAGCCTAATTACACGTTTAACTATGGTGTAAGTGTAATCTAAGCTGCTAGGTGGTTTCTGTAAATTGGGCTTTTAAAAACCTCTGAGGTAGTCCTGAGGATTTTGTTCTGTTTTGATGTACCTGCCTTGAGTCATGTCTGTTGGGTTTGGGCTTGTTTCTGTTTTGAACACTCTTCTGTGTTTTCGTGTGTGCCTGCTGGAATCAGACGTGGGTCGAAGCCCATTGGCCTTGGCAAGACCCTGGGTGCTTCTGGCTGTGCTGTGGTGCTGTTGGGAGTTTTCCTCAAGGAGGGCTTCATTCTTAGCCCCTTCTCGCTCTCTTCCCTTTTTCTGTGCAGTGTTGGTGTCTACTGTGCAGTGTCCCCCAGCGCATGTCAAGCTCGCTGGGGGCAAAGCGCATTGAGTGAAGGGTGCAGGTGCCAGTGGGAGAGCCCAGCATTGTTGTCTCTAACGCCTCACCAGCCAGGTGATGGTGCAGACCCGGCTCTGCACCAGTAGTGGCAGTGGGCTAGCAACAGTAGCCGCAGTGTGCTAGTGTCAGGACAGATGCCGTAAACTGTCCTGACAGACGATTCAAACGACCTCGGAGAGAGCACAGTTCCATTTCACCCAGTGGCCCCAAAGCATTTAAACACAGGACGAAGCTTACAGTCATGCTTTAAAAATGTTTCTTTCCAAGAGTATATCTAATGAACAGACTTACTAAAAACTGACTGGCCCTGATTTTGTAAATAAGTACAAAATATGAGCAGAACCAAATCTGCCCAACTAGCTCATCGTGCCAAGTGGTTTGGTAAAGTGGAACACTACTTAATCCTATTACGTCTCCCTTTAGTTACAAAGCACGTAGTTGTGTCTGTCACGTGACACAGTGTCTGAGGCCCAGGGACACACAGTGAATTAAAGTACTGGCTAGCTGTCAGCAAGTCTGTGGGAGAGTAAGGAAGGGGAGGGTTAGCGAGGATGAGCTGTGGAAAATGGTGGGGTATGCTGAGTGAGGTCTGTGATCTGCCCCGCCTGGCTTGGGAACACACTCAGCCCCGTCAGGGAGACGGCTTTGCTCCTGCCTGCGTGAACTGTGATGTAGGGCTAGCTACTTGACGTGCTGTCCCGTGGTCCCCTGGTCTGTCTCAGGAGGCAATTTTGAGATGTAAAAGAATCTTGAACCACCCACCACGTGTCAGGTTCGGGGCCTGATGTGTGTGGTTGCACACGTTAGTATCCTACCTTCGGCTTGCCCCCTCATCTTGCCAAAAAAGAATGGCTTGGGGTTTTAATCCACTCTTCATTCTGGACTGACTATGATTTATCTGCCCAGCTGTGGCACACGTTACGTGAATCCACAGCAGGTGTTCTCGTGCCGTGCGTCTCTGGTCAATGTTGATGTCCTGTGACGCCGTGCTGGCTGAGTCACTTGCCCTCCTCACACTGGATGAGGAGCCAGGCACTGGATTGTGTGGGAAGAAAAGCTGGACTCCCTTCTCTAAAGGAAGGCCGAGTATGGACAGAGGGTAGTTCAGGGAGGCGTGTGCATGTGTGCGCTCACGCACGCACGCACGCCGCACGCACGCACGCACGCACGCACGCAAGGCCACCCTGGATGGGCAGGGAGTGCTTCCTGGAAGTGGGTCTCACCTGGCGGTAGAACCTTGCTGGAGTCTGGAATGGGGACAGAGCCAGCAGAAGCCTGCTTAGCTGGAATGTGCAGGGTGGGGTGGGGATGTCTAAAGAGTGCCTGTGATGGTTGCTGCCTGTCTTTGGGGTCCTGTTTCCAGTGTGACGTATAGTTCACCTCCTCATTCAAATAGAAAGAGAACTGAAATCCCCTAAGAAAGTGTTTAAATTCTCTAGACTGCTCAAATGTTTAAAAGAAAACCTGTTTGCTTCCCAAGAAAAGTTGCAAAAATGTAGATAACTACACAAAGATAGTTATGCTACAGTAAATGTAATAATAATAATAATTTAAAAAAACTTCCCCCTTCCAAAAGAAAACACAAACTCTGGGGCAATTCACAGATATGCTCATATTTTTATGACTTCTTCCCTTTTCTGACGGAAATGTAAAAATGATGAAATGCCTTTGACTTGAGAATGTTTGGTTCTTTTCGACTGCAGTTCCCCTGATTTGCTGTTTACTCCGTTAGCTGGTGTACTGGACACTTTTTGAGGTCTGGAGGATCTCTCTGGGCTTCTACCAGTTGTTTTGCTTAGATGGTCTTTGTTTTATTTTGAGATGTGATGACAGTCTTTTTATTACAGCTTCATATTTAACTCATGACTCTTTCAGCCCATCTGGAATTAATTCTGACATGGGTGGGGTTCTGTTTCTGGTTCCCCAGTAAACAGTTATACCAACCCAACTAGTTAAGTAATATATTTTAAAATGGTGTGCTTTCTGCAGGGCACCTTTGTTTGTATTTTACTTTTTCTTTCTGTGGGCTTTTTTTGTTTTTGTTTGTTTGTTTTTTGTGAGATGGTGTTTCTCTGTGTAGCCCTGGCTGCTCTGGAACTCACTCTGTAGACCAGGCTGGCCTGGAACTCACAGAGGTCTATGTGCCTCTGCCTTCTGAGTGCTGGGATTAAAGGCGTGGGTCACTGCTTGACTATGTTTTATTTCTTAGTAACTTTTACGAGTTCTGTTAATTTTAGTTGTGGGTCTTAGGTTCATGACTTTCTTCTTCCATTATACATTTATATTGATCTTATTTTATCCCACACTACTATTTTAAGTCATATCTCTACTTTTTTTACATGTGTAATTTTATGACAGATTATAAGGTAGCTTCCTGTGAGCCATATTTAATCTGTAAACAAAGTTTACTTGGCTTAGTGAGTTTTATAAAAACATGACACACGTGATAGGCTTGTATCTCACGTGGAGACAAGCCCCCACCTTGGAGGGCTGTCGTCTGGCATTGACAATGCTCTTCTTTCTTCAACCCTTTTTCCGGCTGGACACCCTTCACTGTCCTACCGACTCACTCAGACTCTCAATGTTTACAATGTCCGCGTCCTGAGAGAGAACCGCTTGCCTCTTGCAGTTGACTTGAACTCCAGGATGTTGCTGCCAGTTTGTAGTGTATCCGTCTCCTGTGTACTGTTGCAAAGAGCGTGCTCCATTCTTACTGGTTGCTCCCGACTGCAGTACTGAGGACTTGTATATTTTAGCACAAGAAATGGCTCGAACACAAAGAAACAAATATGCTACAGCCACACTCGAGGTAGACACAGGGAGAAATAATTGTCTGAGTGGAGATTCCTGGAGCAAATGCTCTGGCACTTTGGCAGCCCAGTATTTCTCCTCCAGTAGGTGCGTGACCCTGGCTCCCAGATCAAACTCTTAGTTAAGAAAGCCTTTGTGCTGCTTTTCTCTCCCATCCCCAACTTTACCCACAATTCACATACCTCCTGTGGTGATCTGTTGTTTATGATTTACTAAAGCTTGCCTGAGCATTCAGAAAGCAAAGTCAGCCTCAGGCTATAGAGATCAGGCAGTGGTGATACAAACCTTTAATCCCAGCAGCCAGAAGCTAGGAGGTGGTGGCACACACCTTTAATCCTAGGACTCAGGATTAAGAGAAAGACGGGTCTCTGTGAATCCAAGGCTATCTAGATCTATACAAGATTTAATCAGTCTGAAAGAGAATTATAGCTCACACCTTTAATCCCAGGACTCAGGAGAGGTATGTAAGTCAGTTTCAGGATTGAGAAGGAGGCATTCGCTCTCCCGACATGCTGAGGAGAGGCAGTAGTTTGAGGCTTGGTGAAGAGCTTGTTTTAAGGCTTTTCAGATTGTTGGTTAGAATTGGGAAGATCACCAATTCCCGAGTCTCGGCTTCATTGATGTGGGGTTCATTTGTGGTCTCAAATGCTGAAGCAGAGGCTATGCTGTCCCAGGCCCTCAGAGCTCAGTGGGACATGCATGCCAGGATGCAGAAATCACAGTTTTTGTTTCATCTTCCCCTAAATGAGAAAACCCAGTCTAGAAAATTTGACTAGGGTAGTTCACTGTCTTTGATTTAGAAAAAAAAATAGAAAAATAAGGAAGGGACTTTGCCTGGGGCGTGATAGGGAGTAAGGGGGAGTTTGATGGACATTTTTTTAACATCACAAAGATGTAAGCTTAAAAATGTTGTCAAGAGTGAATTGACTGCTCTGCCGTCCTTACCCTCAGACGCTGGCTTACTTGCTTTCTCAAAATGCTTTTACAGCCAAAGCAAAGTCTAGCTGTAGGCGGTACCCAAGAAGTGTGTGCTGAGCTAACTGACTGTCAGTATTGTGTTGGGGCCTGTGGACCACTGATGCTGTGCTAAGTGGCATCTGAACCTCGTAAGGTGGGGAAACAGTAGCAGTTCTGACTAGAGCGTCATTCTCTTCAGAGCAGACTATTGATGGCTGTCTTCACTGAGATTCTCGGATTATTAATGAATAAAAATCTGTGTGGCAAAGCTTCCTCAGCCTGTCACGAATTTCATCTCTGAGCAAAGTCCCGAGAAAGCCTGTTCTGTAAGTTCAGCCTCTTAGGTGGTTTTCTTTTTTGTGAGAGAAGAGTGAGGTAACGTGAAGACTTGAACGCTGTGAGCAGCGGGAGTCGTGTTTCATGGTCCCAGAGCCGACTCTGATCAGAAGTGCAGTTCAGGGGCAGGCGGCATGGCCTCAGCAGTGTCCCCACATTTAGTGTCCCCACATTTAGTGTCCCCGTATTTAGTGTCCCCACATTTAGTGTCTCCTTACTTTCTTTTCAATGCTTCACATTTCTGCCTCCAGTAGATCTGACTGTGCATGTGATTTGCGTGTGCTGTGTGTAATCATCATTGTCTGGCTTTGACTTGTAGGAAGAAAAGAAGAAGTTTGACAAAGAGACGGAAAAGAATTACAGCCTGATCGACAAACACTTGGCTCTCTCTGCCAGGAAGAAAGACTCACATTTGCAGGAGGTATTCTTTTTCACGTTTCTCTTGATATCTGCAGTATATACCTCTTTCTTTTTAAAAAGCTACTTTACTTGTGAAAACTTTTCACCTGAGATTGTACAGGCATGGCAAAAACATACTGCCCTGAATAAGAGTAGAGTTCTGTGAAATGAGGCAACAATGCATATGTTTTCCAGTGTTGATTAAGTTTGGATTCATAGTAGTCAGTTTTGGGCTCTGAGTTTTTCACAGGAGCAATGTTAGTCAGTGTCACAAAGAACTTACACAGCCAGGTGTGGTGGCACATGCCTTTAGTCTTAGCTCCCAGGAAGCAGAGGCAGGTGGAGCTCTATGAGTTTGAGGCCAGCCTTGTCTACAGAGCAAGTTCCAGGACAGCCAGGGCTACACAGAGAAACCCTGTCTTGGAAAAACTAAAAACAAAACAACAATAAAAAACCAGTAAACCCCCACAAAACAGAACCCCACACACTACTTTGCAGGGACTTTCCAGGTCTTTTTGATGAGCTGAACTGAATGAGCTCATGCACTGTTTCTTGTATGTGATAGCAGGGTTAGTCTCCGTGAGTGCTGAGAGATCAGGGGTTCTTGTAGGAAAGAATAGATCTCTTCTATTTGTGTCAATAGACAGATTTTTATTTTTTTAAAAGCAGTATGTAGGCAGAAAGGAATTTATATCTTAACTCTCATTTTCTCCTTTTCTTTCTAAATTTTCTAGACTTTTTCCCTCTTCCTCGTAGGCTTGAATATTAGCTTCAGTTATTTATAATATGAAATGTAGGCTTTAAGAGTCGTCTTAATTTTTAATGCATGTATGTGTGTGTGTGGATATGTGTACATGAGTGCATGTGCCCATAGAGGCCAGAAGAGAGTAGCAGGTCCTCTGGAGCTCGGAACTGAACTTATGTAAGAATTGCATGCACTCCTGTTTCAGAAAAAAAAATTATTTGTCCTTGACAACACATGTGCACATTCGCACACATAGACCCCACCCACCCCCAGGCCCCCAGCATACACCCCTGATACCACCTATACACACACCCCACCACACACACACACACACACACACACACACACACACACACACACACACGCACGCATGCACGCATGCGCGTGCATGCGATGTAGGATCACATATGCTCCCTGTTTCCCCTCAGCTACTGGGACCTCAGTACCTTCTCTTAAACACCCAGCCATCTCCTGAGCCCCAGCTCATAGATTTTGTTAGCAATAATGTGATAGGCAGCTGAGGCTTGACACTTACCAACGGAAGCACAGAACTGCCTTCCCTCCCTTTGTTTGTTTTTGAGCACACGTGCATCTGGGTGTAATGTCCTACTACGAATGCATTACCCTCCAGATGATAATAGTATAAAACCCAGCTGTGTGCTTTGCTTACAGACCGAATGTGTGCATACCTCGTTGGTTTGACATCTACAAGTGACATTTTCTTTTGTTTCTTACACCTTTGACATTTGGATGACGTTTAGTACTTTATAGAGAGAAGATAGCTTTTATATCACTTAATCCTCGCTCCATTGCCCGAGGCAGGCCTCTGCCCTGTCTTGTTGCCTTCTGTGTAGGAAGCCGGTGGCTGGGTTTTAGGCTGCTGCTCTTTTCACCTCTCTTCCCCTATCTCCACTTTCAATTATTCCAAGGCAGTTTTAATCCCGCGGGTCAGTTTCCACATCACTCTAATTAGCCATCTCGTCCCGAATGCTCCTTGTGCGTAATGTAGGCGGTATCCTCAACTCCCATACTCCCCCTCTCCTCCATCAGCCTGTGGCCCCTTCTCACGCCCCCTTTCTTTTAAAAGCCCTGCTGATGGGACCTCCAGAAGCATGGGACCCAGGACCCCAGGCAGGTTTCTGGCTGGGTTCTTTGCATTTGTTCTTCAGGCTGCCTGGAATATGATTTTATTTTACTAATTTGGTGCGTTGGTATAGGCACACACTTGTTCCGACCCAGGGGTCTGCTTCCTTCAGGTACTGTCCCAGATACCCTTTACTCGGGCCCTGTGTGAGCAAAGCTTCTTCCAGCCATCCGTCTGTTAAGATGAGCTCCTTCCTCGGCTTCCTGTTTTCTTACCCCTACTATGCGTTGTTGCATGGCTTCTTTCAGTGGCTATACGTCCTCTGAAGGATATACTCTTGCTTTAATTCTTTCTGCCTAGAAAGTACCCGTCAGAGTGAGGTTTGAATGAAGTACAACAGGATGTGTGAACAGTGAGGCTATACAGGTCATGAATTTCAGGAGGCCCCAAGATGAATGGTTTCAGTTCCATTTCAGTTGAACATGTTTTCTCTCTGTTTACTCTTCGTAACCATATAGGCTCCCATCTGAAACAGCCTTCTCAAAAGGGACGAGGCATTTAAAGAGGAGAAGGCTTGGTTTTGGATTCTCATTGCTTTTGTGAGCTGCTAATGTGTCTGTTCTTCAGTGACTTGACTTTAGCCCAAGAGATTAGTTAGGGTTGCTGGGGATGACCCTGGGCAGAGGTGTCATTCTTAATTCAAAGAACAGAACCTTGCAGTGTGTTCTGTGCTGACTGCTTTGGCTGTGGCGTGTTCACACCGTGCTGACTGACTACTTTTTATTTCTGCTAGGAGCTGCTGCCCCTACCCTGTGGGTACCATACACAAGAACTTCCACCTCCATCAGTGTCTCTGAATCCTAGGGCAGGGCAGAAGAGTCCATTTCTTTTCTTGGCTTTTAATGTTTGTTTTCCTCCTGTAGACAATTTAAATATCCCTGGAGAAGTAACACTGAATAATTTTATGTGAGACTCATCTTCTGTCTTCTACTTGTGTAGAGCTCTAATTGGGTTATAAAATGCAGTTGTTTATTAGAAGCTAATAACTTTTGCTTAGTGTACGTGCTAGTCCATCTTGTGTTGCTGTTACAAAACACACATGGACGCACAGTTTATAAAGAAAACAGATTTATTTAGCTTGTAACTCTGGAGTTCTGAGACCGTGACATTGGCATCCGCTTGGCTTTGATATGAAGGGCTTCACCGTGGCTCTGTGTCTAAGAGACCAGGGAGGTTCCAGACTCCTTAAAACAACCTAGTCGTTTGGGAATCCATCCAATTCCATGATATCTTCATTAGCCCTTTCCAAGACTCATGCCTCCACGCCCTGGTAACCCCGTAGCAGGCCTTATGTCTTGACGAGTCCATCACCCAAGTGTGCCACATCAGAGGGAGGCCAGGGTTTCCAGTGCACTCAAGTTTTCTGGGCACATGCAAGCTACATCTAAATGATAACATGTGGGAGAAAGTCAGGGAGTGCATTTTAGACGGGCAGGGTGGAGGACTCATTCTGTATCCTAAGAGCAACCGGAATATTGGGGCGGCTGCGTAAGTTACGAGCTGAGCGTGACCTGGACCATGGTCACTGGGTCATAAGGCACATGGCCCAGTAGTTCTTGGTGTTCAGAATGTCAGAGGTGGTGACAGGGTGACCAGCAGCGTGAGGGGCGGGCCACAGCAGGAGCAGCTGAAGGTTGGTCCCATCTGCATGTGATAACCCCCAGTGACAGTGACATGAAGGAGCCGTTCCTTACCGTGATTACAGGGTCTAACTGTGGGTCACCCTGTTGATAGGCTGAACAATCAGATTGACTACTGGGGACATAGAGTCATGATTTCAGGTGGAAACTTTTATTTTGGTAACTTTACACTGAAACTTTATTTTGCGTAAAGCATCTTAATTAAATACTAGACAGATATTAGACTTGTTTCAGAAACTTCTGACATTTTGCTGTAAACTGTTTATCTTCTAGTTAGTTTTAGCCATTAACTGTCCAGGGTCATTGGCTCAATGCTCTACTTGGCGGTGCCGCCATTCCCCACTTGTCTCCAGAGCTCGAAGGAGCCCTTTACCTGTGAAGCTGCCACTCACCCAGGCTTCCAGCAGCACTGCCGTCCTTTCTGTCATCCTGCTTGTCTATCTGGGGCATTTAATGTATCTGGAGTTTGTGGTTTTATGTCTCATGTGTGGCATTTACTGTGAGAGCCTAACAGTTCACCCGTGCAGGGTAGCATCGCCATAATTTGCTTCCCTCCCCCCTCCCTCTCCCCTCCCCCCTTTCTTTTTAGACAGTTTCTCTGTGTAGTCTTGGCTGATCTGGAACTTGCCGTGTAGACCAGGCTGGCCTCGAACTCACAGAGATCCTCCTGCCTCTGCCTCCCGAGTGCTGGGACTAGAGTTGTGCGCCACCACTCCCAAGCTGCTTCCTTTTCTTTTTAAAGCCACAAAGTTGCTGTATAGCCTCTAACTTGTCCCCTTGCCTTAGCTTCCTGAGTGTTGAGGTTACAGGTGTTCATGTTACCAGTATGGTTTGCCTCCTTTTGTAATATTTCATTATGTGTGTGTGTGTGTGTGTGTGTGTGTGTGTGTGCACGTGTGCAAGGGGGAGGAGGACATCGGGTGTCCTGCCTGACCTGTCACACAGTCTGCCTTGTTTCCTTGAACCTGAAACTAGGCCACAGGCCAGCAAACCCCAGCAATCCTCTGCCTCCACCCCACAGAGGAGAAAATGCAGGCATGACCTGTTGGCCGGTCTGCATGGCACACTGTGCTTCTGAATAAGAAGCAGGGCCCAGCATGCTTGTGAAGTCAGAGCACTGAATTCTGAGGAAGCGTGAGTAGTGTGCAGCCGGCCTGAGTCTGCACTCCCCGTGTCTCCTCTCATGAGGAGACTCTGCAGGTCTGAGCGCCCGCTCTTCAAGCCCGTGTAAAGTGTTAACGTCACAGTCCATAGGCTTCCACTGTATAAGTGGTTGCTCACATGCAGTGAGACTCGTTTCCTGGAACCTTCTCTGCAGTGCTTTATCTCTGCATCTTTTATTGACCCACAGCGCTTGTGGTCCTGTCTGGGGACGCCCAGTTATGATGACAACCCCTCCTCCCAAGCTTGTGTTACAGGCGCGTGTGTGGCCACACCTGACATTTTATCTAGGTTCGGGGTCCCCGTGTCTCCTCTGTAGGCATTTCTACCACCAAGCTAGCACCCAGCTGTTGCATTTTTAGAGGCAGATTATATCCTATTGTTTTCCTAAAGCACATTTGTCCCGTCCTTAGAAACTTGAGTTGCTTCTACCTCCGAGCTATGCCCTGTCTTTTTGAGCCATTGCTTTCAGATATTTTGCGTATGTACCCCAGAGTGCACATAGTGGGTGATAGCATCTTCCACTTTTTTCCACTTTTTTTTTTTGTGGAGTTTTTGAGACAGCCCTGGCTGTTCTGGAACTCACAGAGATCCGACTGCCTTTACCTTCCAGCTGCTGGGATTAACGGCGCACACCACCACTGGCTAGTGCGTCGTCTGCTTTTTATGGTGTTCGCGCCTGCCGTGCCGTTTGCCGTGGTGAGCATGCATGCTTGTTGTGCCTTCGCTCGAGCACAGGGATCTCAGTTCCGCCTCGCCCTTGCCTCCCGCCCAGCAGGCAGCCCCAGAGCGGTGTGAGGCGGCCTCTCCTTGTGGAGGCCTCTCCTTGAGCTTCCCTCAAGGCTAATCTTCTTTGCGTATGCTGCCCATCTGTGCAGCTTTTTTTATTTTTGAGACAGGCCTAGATGAAGGCTTGTTGTAAAGTTGTATCGCTTGATGCCTCTAAGGGTGTCTTCCAGGATGAGGTTTCCCACTGCCCTGTCTGACACTGTGCACCTTCTGCCCTGCCCAGTGAGGCAGCATAAGTTGTGTTGCTGTTTGAGTAGTCTCCCGACCAGCTGGCACCCCCCTCCCTCCCCGGGCCCTGGGGATCTGGATCATGCCCATCTCCACATGGGCCTGGAGTCCTGGCTGTCATGCCCTAAGTGTTGCTCCCTCACCCCTTGTGGAGGCGTCTGCAGCTTCCCTGTCTTCCGCAGCAGGCTGGCATCACTCTTCGAGGGCTTGCTTAGGAGAGTGAGTGCTGTTGGTGGGACTTGGGACCCAGTTCCATGGCGAAGTGTACTCCTCAATCTTCAGTCTGTGGGTGACAGGAGGGTGTTCTTCAGAGTCTGGGGAGAATCATGTCGGACTTTCGCGTGTGCTCCTGCGGCAGGAGAGTAGCAGCGAGTGAGACACCAGCGAACACTCACAGGTTCTAATACAAGTTTGTAAAAGCAGCGCACCGCGGGTTGGAGTTCACTGACCTGTGGTGTTGAGTTTGATAGACAGTTCCCCGTCTTGGGGTCTGACTAACGGCGACTGTTTTCATACAGGCAGATCTCCAAGTGGAGCAGACCCGGCAGCACTTCTATGAACTCTCTCTTGAATATGTGTGCAAGCTGCAGGAAATCCAAGAAAGAAAGAAGTTCGAGTTTGTGGAACCCGTGAGTAGCAAGTTGGCGGTGGATCCCTGTGAATAGTGTTGTGAGACACAGGACGAGACCCGCACCTAGGTTCGGGTGGACACAGCTAGTCAGTCTAGGAAAGCACCAAGCTGAGGGAAGGGCCTTGTCCACACTGCCCCGTGAGTGGGGACACTTCCTCCGCACGGTCTCACGCTGCAGTTGACACAGTCTTTATGTAATCATCTGCCTCAGCAGCACACGTGAGGGACAGGGCTAATCTTCATGAGGCAATGGTTTTCAGTTTCTTTAGAGGAAGTTTGTTTAAGTGTTCTCTTGTTTCAAATTTTACTATTTTAAGTCGTGTTGCAGCATTTGAAGCAGTTTTGTTAATGGCTGACCTTTATATTTATACCGGAAACACTAGTTTCCACATTTATTTTAGCCTTGTGTTTCTGTATGTGTGTCTGTGTGTGGGTATGTGCGTGTGAAAGCAGGTGTCTGTGGGGGCCAGAGGTATCGGCTCTCCCTGGAGCTGGGTTAATAGGTGGCTTTCCATTCAACATGGACGCTGGGAATTTAGCAGAATGTATTCACTGAGCCATGTCTCCAGCCCCCAGAGACACCAGTTTTGTGATTATATCGATGTCTTCTAATAAGTTCTGTTACATATAGCATATATAGGGTGTGGATGTAAACATCTTAATCAAGTGCAGATGGCATTTCATGTAATGGGTTTTAACAAAAAATCATCTGATATAATTTTAATAAAGACTGAGTTTTCCCCTTGCTTTCTCGAACTATAATTCAGATACTGGAGTTGGCCCATTATCCTCATGGTGAGAAATAACACTTAAACAGTCAGTTGGGAATAGCAGAATCACATAACCAGAGAGAATTAGCCCTTACAGTGTCCCTTTCGTGCTGAAGTGATTATGGTGCATGTCACCTTGTTCTGAGTGCCACATTGCTCACCCTCGTTCTGCGCAGGAGCTCAGACACACACTCAGGCCACCCCAGGGTAGCAAGAAGAGGAACGGAAGGGAAAGTTCAGTGCTGTCAGTGTCCCCACAGCTGACTGACGTACATTGATACAGCCTGGCCGTTGGACATCGGGTGTTTTTTATTGTATGTGTCTTGCAGCATTCTGAAGAAAACGAATTCACGATTTTAAAATTCTTTTCCCCGATCACTTTTACTTTGGAGGCATGCTCACCGGTGGCTGGAAGCAGCTGCATTCTAGGAAGGGGCTCTTGGGAGTTGGTGGAGAACTAAGGGCTTAGTTACTGATGGCCCCCTCCCCGGTCCCTGGGCACGCACTTGAGCACCTCTGTGGCGTCCCTCTGTGGTGTCCCTGGAAGAAGGTGGGCCATGCTTTCACCGAGTCCACCTGATGTTGCACGCAGTGTTCAGGTTCCTGTTCTAAGCGGCCAGCAGGGTTCCCGTGACTCATGAGGTATCTATCAGTAGATAGTTAGAATTGGAGAACATTGCATTAAAAATGGTTTAGTGACGCTGGTATTTGTGAATAATGGCATTCTTCACTTTCAGCACAGACCAATGGATAGGTGACACGCTCTTACAGTTATTTCAGTTCTCGTGGCTTCTTCGAAGCTGCTTAGGTCATGAAGTCACATACAGGGAGATGTTGGGTGTTCTGTATGGTTCTTTTTTGCTGTTATTTTTTATTTTCTCGGTGTGCACTAATGCCCCCTTTCTCCTTTGTCTTAGATGCTGTCCTTTTTTCAGGGGATGTTTACTTTCTATCATCAGGGTCATGAACTTTCCAAAGACTTCAATCACTACAAAATGGAGCTGCAGATCAACATCCAGAATGTAAGGGAATGAAAGGCTTGTGCCTCCTGGCTGCTGCTGTTTGCTGCCCTAATGACCAGGCTGGTACCGAGAAAGTGGGGATGTGTTGCCATCTAGTGGTCAGCTCTTGGTGTAACAAACGTTCTCTTTAGCTAATGGAGGCTCCGGAAACTGCCCTTTGGAGGCTCTTCCTGAGCTGTCTGGGGGCAGCTCTCAAGGCAAACTTTATGTTATCTCTGAATGGTGTGTGTTAAGAGACTGCTGTCCTGGCAGTCTATCTCGGCTTTGGTGCTGACCGACAGTTACGGCTTTCCTTCCCAGGCTGGCCTGTGGAACTGCGCTCCTAATGTGTTGGTGTTCACAACTGCCTTCGCTTTCCTTGCTGTCCTGCGTGGGATGTGTGCTTTCAGCCTGATCTTGGAAAATGAGATTTAGAGAGTATTGCTAAGATTCTTTTAGGCTGAGGGGATGAGTAAAGCTCTTGCTATGGAACCCTGAGTTTGCATCCCCAGAACCCATGTGGAGTCACATGTGGTAGCCTGTGCCTGTAATGCCAGTGCTCGTCCAGCAAGGGAAGGCAGGGAGAGAGGACCCCCAGAGGCTGTGTATCGGCTAGCCTGTGAATGTCAGCCAGGTACGGTGGGGCCCTGCACCTAAGGTGACCTCTGTTTATACCTGTGGCATGCCAGCCTCCACATAAATGTGACCCCCCCTTATATGCTTCACTCAGTGTACACTCAGAAAACTAGAGAAAAAGGTTTTATTTGGGTGACAAATGCTCTTTCCAGTTAGGACCTTTGTTATCAGACACGTTCTCATAGAGTAGCTAGTGTGTTAGAGACCCAGTGTGATGTCTTTGTGACGTATGTGGAAACACACACGTGTGGTGTCCTTGTGGTGTGTTTAGCAGTTAGGTAGGCAGAACTTGGAACAGACCTGTCCATTAGTGTGAGCAGGTGCATTCTGTTGGTGTAATTTGCAAAATCACTTTTGTCTGTACACACGCAGGCCAGAGGCTGCCTCCCTGTCTGCCTCAGCTGCTGTCTACCTTGTCTTTTGAGACAGGGTCTCCCGTTGAATCTGGAGCTTGCCTGTTGTGTGGGGTAGCTGGTCAGAGAGCTCCTGAGGTCCGCTTCTCTCCTTCCTGTCATGCCATGACCTCTGCCCCTGCTGTGTGGCAGACGCCGGGATATACCTTTATGTGGGCGCTAGGGATTCCGATTTGCATCTTTATGTCTGCACAGCAGGCATGTCACTGGCCGAGCCATTTCTCCAGCCCCACAAGAATTTTTAATGAGATGATTTGTTTTTCAGCGTACCTTGTAGGCTATAAAACGCCGTTTGTGAAGAGCACCAGTTGAGAAGATTAGATTATGAGATGACCCTCACTTCCAGCTGGGTATACGATTGTAGGATTAGCATTTTCTCTCTAGACCTCACCCATCAGCTCCGGTTAGGACTGGTGTGTGCTTTGTGGGAGCAATGCAGCGTAGGGTCCCCCAATACAAACAGGGAAGACTTTGAAGATGGTGGATCACCGCAGATGGTAACTCCTTACATTCAGTTGGGCTGGTTTTGCTCGTCACCGAAGCACTTGGGAGGTGGGGGCAGGAGGATGGGATGTCAAGCCTCACCTCAGCTATGTAATGAGTTGGAGACACAGCTTGAGTCACACGAAATCCTGCTTAGGCAGCCCTCCCAACCCATTAAATATAGCAGAACATTACATGGCCCTGTAGCACAGGCCATATGTGACTGTACAGGCCACTTGCCCATGAAGCCATCTAGATTTATTCCAGGCTCTGTAGATGACAGAGGAACACATCAGTCTCCTGGGCTTTGACCAAACTGTCCTTACTTGCTTACGGACAGAAGTACTGTTACAGTGTACCATGGGGAAGAGGGCGAGCTGTGAGTTTGTGTATACCGAAGTAAGCCCAGGAAGACTTGGCATGCCAGCGGGACTGAGTCATATCAGCCATGAGATAATGAGGAGCAAAGCCCAAAGGCTTAATCTACAAACGTCACTCACTGACCTTGTAAATATGTGGATGAACTAAGAGCTTACACATTTGATAGCCGCACTCACTCTTTATTGTGGAGGAATGGGGAGGTACCTTTCTGTATATTGAGGAACCCAAGGATGTGCACTCATCAGCGTATCCAGCCGCCTCTCCAAATATCTGTTTCTGAGGCCACTTGGGTGCTGCTCTTTGGGAAGCTGTTCCTTCTGCCTCGCTGTTAGTGCCAAGGGCTCTTGTTATGTGTGGTCTAACCTCCTTCCCTCCCTGGGGATGGGAGCGAGGGCACAAGCTGGCCGAGGGTTCTACCGCTCCCCTTAACCGTCTCCTTGGCTGGCCTCCCCTCATGGGCTCAGGCAGTATCCCCCTTCTCCTCCCCAGCTGGTGTGCAGGTGTGAACCGCCCCGCCCCGCCCCGCCCCGCCCCTCGGAAGCCTTTCACATCTTGTGTGAACCAGAAAGCAAGAGAGTAGAGATGGCTTTTAGGAAGTAGGTGTTTTACCCTCAGAAGAGAGGAAACTGTATCAAAACTAAGCTTACACTTTTTTGATCCCATCCCCACAAGACTGGGGTGAAAGTCCTGGCAGGAGAAGCAGATTACTAGGAAGACCCTCCTTTGTGGTTTAAACAAGGCTAGGGATAGGTAAGAATGGGCAGATACTTTACCTCTGGTAGGAAATAATTGTGGGTTTTCACTAGCACAGCCATGAAATAATAACGCTTGCTGTCCCTCTGATCCTTACTGCGCTGATTCCTCCACTGTGTGTAGAGGGCGTAGCTTCCTGAACACAGGGCTGCGCAGGAAGGGAAAAATCTCTTCTTTTTTATTTTTAATTTTTTATTAACTTTTTATTTAAATTAGAAACAAGCTTGCTTTACATGTCAATCCCAGCTCCCTCTCTCTCCCCTCTCCCCCAAACCCCCATCCAATCCCCACTCTGCTCTCCAGGGAGGGTGAGGCCCTTCATGGGGGATCTCCAAAGTCTGTCATATGATCCCGGGCAGGGCCTAGGCCCTCCCTCATGTGTCCAGGCTGAGACAGCATCCCTCCATGTGGAATGGGCTCCCAAAGTCCATTTGGATGCCAGGGATAAGTACCGATCTAGTTAGTACCCAAGGCCCCAAAGATTGCTGAGGCCTCCTGTACTGACACCCACATTCAGGGGGTCTGGAACAGTGCTATGCTGGCCTCTCAGCCATCAGTCTGGGGTCCATGAGTTCCCCCTTGTTTAGGTCAGCTGTATCTGTGGGCTTCACCCACCTGGTCTTGACCCCTTTGCTCATCAGTCCTCTCTCTCTGTCACTGGTTTCCAGGAGTTCAGTTCAGTGTTTAGCTGTGGGTATCTGCCTCTGCTTCCATCAGCTACTGGATGAAGACTCATGTTTGTCTTTTTGTGACTGGGTTACCTCACTCAGGATGATTTCTTCTAGTGCCATTCATTTGCCTGCAAATTTCAAGATTCCATTGTTTTTTGTTTTTTGTTTTCCTGCTGAATAGTACTCCATTGTGTAAATGTATCACATTTTCTCTATCCACTCTTCAGCTGAGGGGCATCTAGGTTGCTTCCAGGTTCTGGCTATTACAGTCTCTTCTTGTAGACCCTTACTGGTGGGCAGTGCCATGAAGGGAGGAATTTGAGCATTACTTGAGTCCTAAGCCTGCTCTGCTTAGCTCAGTCTTAATGTTGGGCTAGAAAACGGGTCACACCTGGAGTAGCCGGGATCAGTAAGCTCAGGCCTTGGGGGATCATCCTGGCTGGCTACCTGCCTTCTCTGGACTTTAAAACTTGCGGGGAGCATAAGACTCTTGTTAAGGCAAGGGCTGAGATTTAGGCACAGCTGGCAAGCCTGGCCTCTGATGAGCGCTGTGACGGGTGTGGGCTTTGCTGTGTCTTCCTCTGAGACTGGATCAGCTGTTCCCTGGGATCTGCTGGCCCACTCTTCCTTTTCACCCACCTCCATATGGAGAACTCTTGAGAAGATACGAGGTGCTAATGAGGTCTGTCTGTCTGTCTGTCTGTCTGGGAACCCTACTTGGCTTATTTTGGTAAGGTTAAGACCCCCGTCATGCTGTTAATCACCCTCTGCCGTCCTTTGCTCTGTAAGTGATGTCCTGGGGCTGAGATGGGAACCCTGACTGAAAAATGGCAGTGTGGGCCTGCAGTCAATCGCTGCTCGCCCCCCGCCTCTGCGTGCTTAATTGGACGTGTCGTAGCTGCTGTTCCGTTGCTGTGATGAGACGCCATGGCCAAGACAACTTACAGAGGGAAGCTTATTTGGGTTTGTGGCTCCTGAGGGTTGGAGTCCTTGATGGTGGAGCCTAGGTGGCAGGCGTGGCATTGGAGCAGAGGCTGAGAGTGGCAGTCAAAGACACTTCCAGTGCCACACTTCCTCCTGAATGTCCAGTACCTCCCCAGCTGCGACTACTCAGATGCCAGGACAGTGAGGTCTCACTCCAGCTACGGCACTCGGGCCCTCTCCTCCCGTCCTCCTCACTTGACGTCTTTAAAGGCATCCACGTTCTGTTTTGAATCCTTTTTGTTCATGTGTTTTTTGAGACAGGGTTTCTCTGTGTAGCCCTTGGCTGTCCTGGAACTCGCTCTGTAGGCCAGGCTGGACTCAAACTCACAGAGATCTGTCTGCCTCTGCCTCACTGGGTGCTGGGATCAAAGGTGGACACCACCAAGCCTGGCGTTGTATTTTCTTAAAGGGCATACAAAGTTTTTTCTTACACATTGGCTTTTAATCTCTGGAAATACTATTCCTTTTTACATATGCTCCAACTTCCTAGGAGAAAGGTACCATTATGCCATCTTTTCTGTTTTTGTTTTTTTCCCCACCCTTATGGGCTTTGACGACCATTTTTATGGTAAGAAGGAGAGAGGAGAAATTTTACCTCTAGTTTTCTGTCTGAGCCCCTTTGCCCTTTCACATCAACAGTCTTTTGGTATTAACGCAATTATTTTTGAGTCTGGCTGAAAGAAATATCCATACACTGGGTAGTAACGACTCATCCGGATGGCTGTGGTCACTCTGTCGCTTCGTTTGCACGATGTGTTGAGCTGGTCCATTGGGCAGGTATTGGTAGGCCTGTCTCCTGGGTTTCTGAGTGTGGTTAGCCTCTCTAGATGCGTGGACATTGTTTGCTGGTGAGATCTTCCTCCTCGCCTTCCTCAGGGAAGTCATGTCATTTTCTATTGTAGTCACCACAGTCTGGAAAAATGGACACTGACTTTTTGTTAGCTTGCAAAGCATAGTTATTTTCAGATTTTTCGTGCTCAGATGACTGCCATAATAATAACAGCTTGGATCAGGGTGATTGTTGCCAACACCTTCTATTTACCAGGGAGATAGGTATTTTGTGGCTAATTTGCCTTTCAGTCTAAGATGTCACAAGTCCAGGAATTTCGAGGTGGAGAGGCTGCCCCTGGCGTCAACACTGTAGCGGCTGGTTCTGCTCCATTGTCTCAGCTTCTGGATTGGCCGTTTGGCCGTTTGGTTTTGTTGTCTTTGAATACAAACCTCAGTAAGGAGACACATTGGAAAGAATAGGCTTTTTTGAATTCTGCAGATTTGATTTTAGTTACACAGAGTCATTAAAATATATGCCCCTCCCCCCAAAAACCCCATAGAAGTTGAATTTACTTGTGTTTTTTTCTGTTTCAGACGCGGAATCGATTTGAGGGAGCCAGGTCAGAAGTGGAGGAGCTTATGAATAAAATCAGACAGAATCCCAAGGAGCACAAGCGAGCCAGCCAGTTCACGGCGGAAGGCTACCTGTACGTCCAGGAGAAAAGTAAGAAGGGCAAACACAGGTCGGGTGGCTGCTTAAAACCCACGCCTTCCCTCTGAGCCTTCAACACCCACGCAGTGAACAGATCTGAGCAGAACGGTCAAAACCGAACCAAGCCAGCCACTGCATCTGTCGGTGCAAGCACAGACTGTGGTTCATTTTTGAGACGTCTTACTGCGTAACCGGAGTGGCTTTGAACTCCCTGTGTAGCTCAGACTGGCCTCAGCGCACAGTCTGCAAGTTGTTGGAGTTCTGGCGTGTGCCGCTACACCTGGCTCCAGAACTCTTCTCATTTCCATCTACTAACTAACGCTTGTTTCTAAGGGCGCCAAGCTTGAACGCGCAGCAGCCAGAGGCCCCTGTTACCAGCCCCCGGCTCCCCGCTCCTCTTCTCACCCCTTATCAGTTCCAGCCAGTGCCTTGACCTTGTCCGCATCTCTGCGTCCTCCCCCACCTCCTCGTAACCCTGCTGCTCACGTGTGTCAATGGGGGCATCTTGTTCCCTCACGTCCTTCTGTGATAGGCTGTTTTTTTCGTTTTGTTTTGTTTTGTTTTTCGAGACAGGGTTTCTCTGTGGCTTTGGAGGCTGTCCTGGAACTCACTCTGTAGACCAGGCTGGCCTCGAACTCACAGAGATCTGGCTGCCTCTGCCTCCCGAGTGCTGGGATTAAAGGCGTGCGCCACCAACACCTGGCTCTGATAGGCTGTTTTTATTACGGCTATTAGCAAAGGGGCTAGAGAGATGGCTCAGCAGCTAAGATCACTTCTTGCTCTTCCCGAAGAGCCGGGTACAGTGCCCAGCACCCATACCTTGTGGTCCACGACTGTTCAAGGGGAGTCTAATGTCTCTGGCTTCTCTACTCACATGTACCCATTCACATAATTAGAAAGAAAAGTCTTACTAGATATGAGGAGGACTGTAGATGGATATAGAAAATATTGCTACATAGCAGTATTGTACTCATAGCAGTGGTCTTGTTTTGTGTGTCTGATAACAAAGTACGTGAGGGCTGATACTGTGTAAAGAAGTGACTTGTTTGGCTCATGATTTTGGGGTTTGGGAAGGGTCCCATGGCTGCATCACAATGTAGCAGCGTGGAAAGGCAGTTTGCTGCATGTATAAGGGGTGCTTCACTTTAGATAACCTGCCCCGGCCTGAGGAGATGGCTTGGTTTGTAAAGTGGCTGGACCGCAAAGCGAAGGTGAGGCCCTCAGACCCGCCTCCCACAGCCAGGTGTAGCCACGAGTGTCTGACCCTAGTGCTCGCTGTGCAGGCATAGAGAATGGCTGGTCCTTGGAGCCCCCTGGCCCGCCCGTCTGGGCGGCTGGTGAGCTCTGGGTTGAATGAGAGACCTTGTTCCCAGAAGAGACGGGAGAGCGTGATAGTGGGAGACACCTGATGTCAGCCATGGCCTCATGCGTCCGTGGGCTCACACACTGAGCCTATGCACTCACACACTCTCGCCATGAGAACTAACCCACAGAGAGCTCCCTTAACCCTTGGGGGGGGGTGGTGTCCCATCCCCCAGTCAGCTTCATGTCGCTAGGACTGGGGCTGCCCCACGCGGCGGGTCTCTGCACATTTGCTTTGTTCAGATACAGTTGGAAAATTAAAGAAACGAAAATCTCATTCAGAGCCCTCAGTTGAATTCCTCAACTGGTCAGATGTACCGAATGCTTCACTCCTGCTCGCCCTTAGTTTTCCTCAGGGCGCTTCAGTTTCCTTTCCTTGACTAAGTGTGGTCCCCTTAGCTGACTTTCACACTGGTCATCTGGGGAATGGAGGATGGGGGGGGCGATAGTGCTGTCTGTCACATCAAGGCTGCAGGCGGCAGGTGCTGAGTTTCCTCCCGTTAATCTGGAATTTCTGAGGAACTCCTGGGTCTTCTATAGCAGGCTGCAGTGTATGTCATTTATTGCGTGTGACCGTGAGTGAGCCCGTGCAGTCGAGCATGTGGGGACGAGGTGGCTCGCTCTTTCCCCGCGGGATCTGGGGATTGAGCTCAGGCAGGCAGGCTTGGGCTCTCAGGACTTTAGCACACCGAGTCAGCCCAGTGTCAACATGCGACTTCAGCTCCCAGTGATCTGGTAAAAGTGCCTTAAAATCAGGTCTCGCAGTGCTCTGAGGCACTTCCTGTCTCTTGCAGCCCCTTTCTGTTAGCGCCTTCATTTTTATGCTTTGTCATGTCTGCCTCCTCATGAGGGAAAACACAAACATTTGTGCTTTGTTGAAGGGCCGGCTCCATTTGGGTCCAGTTGGGTCAAACACTATTGCATGTATCGGAAAGCAGCCAAGAAATTCAACATGATCCCGTTTGAGCACAGGTCTGGGGGGAGACTGGTAAGTATTTAGTTTTTATATTTTTATGAGAGATACTTGTTGGACCTGCTGTTTCAATAGTTTCGTACTGACTGTTAAGAAATCTGATTTTGGGGGCTGGAGAAATGGCTCAGCGGTTAAGAGCACTGACTGTTCTTCCAGAGGTCCTGAGTTCAATTCCTGGCAACCGCATGGTGGCTCACAACCACCTTGAATGAGATCTGGTGCCCTCTGCTGGCATGCAGGCAGAAGGCTGTATACACAATAAATAAATAAAATATTTTAAAAATCTGGTTTTAGGATTAAAATCTCTGTTTTGATTCTAAATCACACTCCTGGGTCTTTACAGTTAGATTTTAAGACAGGGAGCAGTAGAGTTACGTCATTGTTTTAGAAGAGAAAGAAGGCTCCTGCAGGAAGCTCTGTGACCTGTTGGTTGCCCACATTCACGTAGGAGGTTGAGCGTGTTCACTCCTTACGTACTCACAGTCTGAACGCACTGGAAGGAGACGTGGGCTCTCGTTCCCTCATTCAGTTAGGCACACTGAGTTTTACACCCTGTTTGCTTAGCTGCTCGTCCTGACACCAAGCTCGGTAGTGAGGCCTGGGGAGGAGCTGTGTGAGGAAGGTGACCCTCCTGCGGCCAGTGAACGGTTGCCGTCCGTTGCTCACAGCTAGCCCTGGTCTCCTCGCACCAGCAGTGAGCGCCATCGGCCGCACATTCTCGGAAAGCACGTCAGTTGGTTGCTCGCTGGGTAGTTGGGTGACATTTTGCTTCTAAACTGACTTCTGTCTACATACCCTTGGCTTCTTCTAGAAACAGACAGACAGACAGACAGACAGACAGACAGACAGACAGACATTAAAGCAGGCTGTACGAAGGAGCCTTCTGTAATGATGGCTGTGGAAAACAGCCTCCCAGAAGAGGCTGAAGTGAGGCTGTCACTTGTGGAAGGCGGGGGGTTGGAACATTAGCCATGAGCTCACGAGTTTGCAGCTTCTCAGCATTTCTAGTTAGTGACTGCTTTCTATTCTAGGCCCCAAGTGACGAAGTGATATATTGTAGAATATAGCTGTGATGTTTTGAATATTTTACCTACCTTGGGTCTTTTAAAATGCCGCTTACAGACCCTCAGTTTCTGGGAAACCCTAAGTGTAGACTCGGACTCTGCCGTCGCTCTCTGCTGAGCCACTGCGTTGCTTTTGTCTCGAGTCCTACGGCTTTTGGGGAGGCTGGTGGCCAGAGACAAGTGGCGTTTCAGTAGAGGGGAAACTTGTAAAGAAGTGTAGCGTGACCTCTCAGGACGCAGGGCTGATGCACAGATGGACCGGCTCCAGCGTTAGAGGGTAAACACTTGTGATCCCGGCTCCCTATGCTGCACACCCAGGTTGGTCGCAGTGTGTACAGGCTGGTAGTGGTCACGCCGATATCGGCACGCTTTAGGGTGGTGTGACGTTAAGGCAGATCTTGACTCCTTAAAGAGCGTGTTGACAGGCAGGCCATCCCTGAGTGCGTGGGCTCATCCTGTGGTCAGCATTTGTGAAGTCTGCCTAACAGTACCACTCTCAGGGGTCACTGGAGACCCCAGGGAAGGGCCTGAGAGCTGAGGAGCTGAGGGGCTAGCCTCGCCTCCTGCAGGGCAGCACCAGTGGGTTCTGCGCAGCAGCTTTGAGTATTGTGCTTGTTTGCAGGGGGATGGAGAGGTGTTCTTCTTGAAAGAATGCACCAGAAGGCACGCCGACTCCATTGACAGGAGGTTTTGCTTTGACCTCGAAGCTGCTGACAGGTAAGTTGTAGTTAATTAGCTACAATATTAAAACTCATTTGGCAGTGTGACTTTTTAAAAATGTGTTGTAGGAGTGATTTCTGTGAACTAGAAAAATGTTACCTTTTGGTGTGTCCAGAACATCTTCACTGTGAGCTGTTGTTGGTCACTGTGTAGTTGTAGGGTTATGATGGCTTTTTCTTGGCTGGAATCATTCTAACCTGTCCTTGTCACCTGAAAGAGGAACACTGAGCATTTTACTGTTGATGCACTTCCGAGTGACAGCAGGAAGAGAATAATGAAAGAGAATGTCAGCGGTGTGAGGTAACGTTAAAAGAAAGTGCTCAGTGTAGTAGTACAGAAACAGTGCTCCTTCCTGTGTGTGTGTGTGTGCGCGCGCGCGTGTATGTGTGTGTGCGCCCGCGTGTGTGCGTGTGTGCACGTGTGTGTGCGTGTATGTGTGTGTGCGCGCGTGTGTGTGCGCGCATGCGCAAGCACGTGCAGTTTGCATGTGCAGTTGGGAATTCATTGTGTGGTAGAGGGCAAACCCTGTCACTACAGTCAAAGACTTTTCTTACTAAGTCACGAGAGTCTCTGGCAGAAGTACCAGAGGTGACACCTGGAGCGCTCGGTGCTGCCTGGATGGTGATTCCACGCCTCCCTTGGTGTGGTTGCAGTAGTTTGTAGATAAAGCTGTTTGATGCGTGTGTAATAAAAACTTTTCAAAGGAGAGTATCAGGAATGAGAGTGTTTCACATGAGGCCTAGTTGTTGCTGCTCTCTTCGCATGGCCCTGCTGAGAATGTGGAGTTAGCACAGAGGGAGAGGCCCATGAGTGGATTCACGGAAGAGCAGTTGCAGAACGATGTACCTGCTGCTCAGCACCCTGAAAAATTTGGCAGTACTGTGACAAGGACATACAAAGGATGGTTTCCCAAGATTGTAACAGAAAGAGAACATTGTTTGAAAAGAGGCTAAAATTTAAGTCACCAATGAGCTTGGTCAGTAGCCGGTAAGGCCTCTGTGTATGCTCATGAAGAGCGTATGTCCATAGCTGCCCTCTGCCCAGTCCTTGCTGGTTCCTGGGTATTTATTTTATCTCATTTAATCCCCACCACACCTCCCCCAGGAGAGAACCTCTACAGCCCTATGTTTATTTTAATGTTATGTGTTTGTTCAGATGTATGTGCACCATGAGCGTGCTGTGCCTGGAGAGGCCAGAAGAGGGCGCCATGTAAGTGCTGGGAACCCAAATCAGGCCCTCTGTCAAAGCAGCCAGTGCTTTCAGCTGCTGAGCCGTCCTTCTAGAGCTCCCCCTGTGTTTTCTTGTTGAACTCTAAAGACTTTATAGACTATGTGCAGTCATCGATACTACCGTTCCTTGCCTACACCCACCTGTCTTTAAATTTCCTCACAAAAAACATTTAGTTTTGTAACCATTCTTCATTCAGACCGATTCTCCCTCCCATCAGCACACACCACATTATTTCATGCCTTAAGAAAAAAAAAGCCTTGTTATCACACCGTTCGTGAGCCCTCTCCTTCCACCTACTGCCTGTTTTGTTCCACGAGCAGCAAACAGCCCTCGGAAAGCCACCACGTGATTGTCTTCCTGCTGCGCTCTCTGCTCAGTGCCCACTCTCCCCGTGACGCAGTTGGCTGGGTTGCTGCAGGGACGCTGTGCTTCTTGCTTTCCTCCTGCCTTGCTGCCCCCCCCCATTTTTTTCTTTTTTATTTTTTTTACCTTCAGCTCATCTCCCAGATCCGGTGGCGCTGGAGTTCCCTGGGCTTAGTCTTCCGGACTCTTTTCTCCCTTATGACCTTGTCGGGCCCATCATTCAGTGCCAAGCGTCAGGGTTTCCTCTCTGGCCACCTTTCTGTATTCCTGTCGGGACGGCTCAGTGGGGTTGCACAGTTGGAGCTCATAGGTTGCCTCTTTAATGATTTTTTTTCAAGGACCTTTTAGGTTCTCATTATTTTTGGGTGATGCTGGTGTTGCAGCCCAGGGCTTTGTATGCATTGGGGAGTATCCTACCGCTAAGCCATTCACCTCATTGCATGCTGTTTTGTTCTGAGTAGAAAGTATACTTTGTTGGTGGGATCCAGAATTTTATATATGCACATGAAGTCAATCTTACATAAATCTAACCTATATAAAAAGTATTGTTTGCTTAAATCTCGCCATTCTCTAACTCTCTGGTTAATTTGAAAAATTGCTCATAATCATAATCCTTGGGTTTTCAGAATGAATCCCGTTTTTACTTTTGGATTATAGACTCCTATTGCTTTTGGCTTATTTCTTCATTTCTCAGTAGAGAAACATCTACTTGTGTCTGCTTTTATCAGTGTGTGGTGCAAGATCCTGTCATTCCAAACTGTGTCACTCATTTGTGGAACGAACACTTGTGGTCTAGGGCTGGAGGGAGGGTTCAGCAGTTAGGAGCACAGACTGTTCTTACAGAGGACTGGACTTGATTACCAGCATCCAAATAAGGCAGCTCACAACTGTCTCTGCCTTTGGCTCTGGGGGATCTGGCGCCCTCTTCTGGCCTCTACAGGCACTGTACTTTGGTGTATCTATCCCCACCCCAACCTAAACACATAATAAAAATGGCTTATGAAAAAGATAGTGTGCTGGATATGAGGGGTGAATGTACACTGAAACCTCTATAATTCCGAAGTCGTCAAGGTATTTCCTAGAAGTTCAAATGTGATGGGCCCTGCCTTAGTTTATTCCCCGATTTCTGGCCCAGAAGACTGTTAGGAATCACAGTCACTTATTCTCACGGGCATTCTGTGAGAGTGGGGTCCTGTGCCCCGGACGCAGTCTTTCCGTGTGGAGGACAGCCTGCACGTTTGCACCGTGTTAACTGAAGTTACTCGCTCTGCGGAGGAGGCAGAGCCGGGATTGGCTTCAGCCGAGCACCCACCAGGCTATGCTTGGCTTTGTTCTGCTGCTGTCCAGCCCAGGCTTCACTCCGCTTAAAGGGAAATAAGTTTAGCCCGTTTTGACATGTCGTGTGGGCATTGTAAATGGGTTTCTGCACAGTTCCTATTGGGATCTTTTGAATAGCAATTTCATAGCTGATTATATACTTTTAATCTAAATTTCGCCTGCTTTCCAAGTGTCTGTTTTTGCTATTTTGTATTTTTGAATATTAAAAGAAGTGGCATTGTGGCTGAGTGTTCATGAGCCTGGGCAGACATTTAATCTTCTTGCGTGGGTGTCAAGAACTCCCTACAGTTGTGGGTTTTAGTTCAGATCAGGTTTGGTTAGGCTTACTAGTTTTAGTTCAGATCAGGTTTGGTTAGGTTTACTAGTTTTAGTTCAGATCAGGTTTGGTTAGGTTTACTAGTTTTGGGAACGAGTTACCATGGCTTTAAACAGTGCTTGTCTTTTTCCGGTTGGGGAATCCACAGGCAGCCAGGTCAGGGTTGGCTCATTTCCTTGGGCCTGGCTCCCATTTCCCTGACAGTGCTGTTGTTGTGAACATTTCCAGAGATTTCTCACACTGGTGCGCCCGTGTTCCCCCAGGTACAGCGTGGCTCATAGGAAGCATTGGCATCTTGAGGTTGAATCCCTGTGCTGATGCTTAGATGACCCGAGGGGGCAGGGAGCAGCAGGGGGCTGAGTGGGGATCAACAGGCCATTCTTACTGTATTGTTTCCTAGGCAGATACATAGGACCCCCCCCCCCCCCTTAATTCACAAAAAGGCAGCTTTGGATATTTTCTTGGATAGAGGGAAACATTTAAGAGCATGTGCTAAAAAACCATTAAAGAATAGAAAATTGAATGGTTGTTATAGCACTCTTAGAACTCCACAATTAAAGACGTAACATTTGAAAGTGGGTAAAAGATGTTTTTCTAAGGAAAATGCACATGTGCACGTGGGCACAAGGAAAGCTCTTGGACATGATCAGTTACTCGGGAAACGCGAGGCAAAGCCACGTTGAGGTGATGCTTGATCTCCCCAGGGACAGCTGTGTTAGCGAGGTAATAGCAAATGCTGCCATGGGTGTGGACGATGGCCGCCCCCCCACGCTAAGGTGGGGATATGAGTGGTGTAGCTGCCGTGGCAACAGTTTGCAGCCCTTCCAAAGGCAAAGCGTTACATCGCCCCCTGACACAGGAGTCTTACATTTCACTTCTATATGCACATGAAGTTTATAAGTGTACAGACATATATCTGGATGTAGTAAAACGTATATCCACATAAAACAGTAGGAAGAATGATTTGTACGATTTTTGCCAACGTAGGAATTACTGGAACATTTATATGTTGATGAGTGCATGCTGGAATGTTTGGAACAAGCCTTGAAAGTGTTTGAGTAAGAGGAGCCGGTGATAAAGTAACACACGTCATGTAATTCCGTGTGTGCACATGTCCACAGCAGATAAGTCTGTGTGGATAAAGAGCGGAGGAGGGCTGCTTAGGCCTGGGGTTGTGCAATGTGGCAGCGATGGCCGCTCCAGGCAGACCTTTTCCTCATGCATGTTTTAAAATTGGCTTTGGTGATGTTTACACAAATCTGAAGATACTCACTTAGAGTGAAGCAGGTTTACGGTGGTGTGCAGTGTTTGCTCACCAGCAACTCCAGTCTGTGTGGGGTGCGGCTCTGTTTTCCAGATTGACAGTTAGAGCATGTGTCTTCCAGAACATGGGTCGTGCGGTTGACTTTGACAGCAGCGGGAATGCTGGAACTGTTAGCACCACCTCACCCTGGCTCGTGGACAATTGCCAGCTGGTTCTGAGGGAGGTGACAAGGGATAAAGTGAATGGCCCGAACTTTCAGCAACTTCAGGGGCGGAGGGCTTCAACTTTGTATGAGAGTAGAGACACTTCACTGCCATAGGCTTGCAGGCTAGTGTTAAATTTTACTTTAGTCTTTTGAGGCAGGATTTTTCTGTGTAGCCCTGGCTGGCCTGGAACTCTCTTTGTGGATCATTCTAGCCTTGAATGAGAGATCCGTCTACCTTTGCCTCCTCAGTGCTGGGACTAAAGGCGTGTGCTGCCACACCTGGCTCTTATTTTTTTTTTTTTTTGGTCCTTTCTTTTTATCTCGTGGAAATGAGGTTTGAATTCACAGCTTTGAAAATGCTATATATTACTTTGCTGTTGAGCCTCTGAGCTACAGCCCTGGTGTTTCCCAGACCTTTGCAGAGACAGGGTCTGGCTGAGTTGTCCAGGTTTACCTCCAGACTACTTTTCCTGCCTCGGCCTCCCGTGCTCCTGGAATTACAGGTGGATACTATTGCATCCTGCTGAGAAATGATGTCTAAATGCATTCTTGCTTTTCTTTTTTGGGGTAGAGACTAGCTTTGAAATGCTATCAGTGAGGGGCACTCCAAGTCCTAAGCTGACTTTTGCAGATTAGGTGACAGTTGGGAAATTCAGAAATAGAAGTTCAAGGCAAAATGAGTCATGGGAGGTGCCGAGTTAAGCCCCACCAGTCAGCAGTTCTCAGCTGTGGACAGTGCCGTACGTTTGACAGTGTCTAAAGATACTTTCAAACTAGTTTGTGTTTGAGGGTGGGGCAGGGTTGGGAGGAGCTGTAAGTGGTGGTTGGGGTTAGTGGATGATGGTGGAGACAGTTGCTGCAGACATCTTGTGGGCAGAGGCCTGGAGCGTATGAACCAGTACAACGCACAGTGGCATTACAGTTGGGAATCCATGTGTTTGGTGAGACAGATGCCGACAAATGCTTGCAGAATTGCATTGTTTCGTGTAAGTGTATGTATGTATGTAGTATAAAGCATTGGCTTAATTTGGCTATCGTACAAATAATGACTTAAGGGAAAATGGTGAACCATGGAAAATTTTAAGTTCCTGTTTAGAGAGACTAAGAAGTGTAGTTATTATTATTTTAAATCCTTTGTAGAATTGGGAGAGCACGGAGCAGGTAGAGGGAGAAGCATCTCCGGTGCTGAGGCCTCTGTGCTCTTCAGTGTGTGTACTGAAAGCATCTCCGGTGCTGAGGCGTCTGCTCTGCAGTGTGCGCAGCTGTGTACTGAAAGCATCTCCGGTGCTGAGGCCTCTGTGTTCTTCAGTGTGTGTACTGAAAGCATCTCCGGCGCTGAGGCGTCTGCTCTGCAGTGTGTGTACTGAAAGCATCTCCGGCGCTGAGGCGTCTGCTCTGCAGTGTGTGTACTGAAAGCATCTCCGGTGCTGAGGCGTCTGCTCTGCAGTGTGTGTACTGAAAGCATCTCCGGCGCTGAGGCGTCTGCTCTGCAGTGTGTGTACTGAAAGCATCTCCAGTGCTGAGGCGTCTGCTCTGCAGTGTGCGCAGCTGTGTACTGAAAGTGGCGTGGTTGGTAGTGATGCATCCACCGCCACGGTTTTGATTCTGGAAAGGAAATCTGAGTTGACGCTGTATGAGGCTACTCTTGGGATGTGTGTTGAAGGGAGTTCCATGTGGGCTGTACAAATGATTCACTTTGGTGAAGGAAGCATCTAGTGCCAGGGTTCTGTGGTGACAGTTGTCACTTCCTGTTAGTGAGGAGTAAACCCAGACAGTGGGCGTGTTAGTGTTACACGCTGTGGCTGTGAATCCTTATCAGATACACTAGGAAGTTACCTTTTACAAATGATTGGTAGCATTTTTTTTGTTCTGTGAGATATTTGTGTACACCAAGTTCAAAAAGGACTTTCCTATTTTCAAAAGTGAAAACCGTTGTAATTAATGTGTGACTTGCAAAGATTTGGCAGGGCCATGAATGATAAGAGGTCTATTTATTTTTCTCATACAGATAACTAGTATTCCTAGCACCAAATGTTGGCATAGACTTCAATCAGATTGAACTGTTTTCATTTATTCTGTTTCCAGGAATTATTTAGCTAGGTGTGGGTCATTAGTGAGGGACAAGGATACAGACCCATGCGGTCAACCTTAGCAGTCCCCTAGGCCCTTTGGGACCTCAGCTCAGCCAAGCCAAGGACTCATGACTTCGACCACAAAGGAACTCAGGACTCTTTAGCATGAATTGGAATTGTTCTATTAAAAGTAGAGATGTGCACGAGGAGAGAAAACACTCATGGGCATAGGCTTTATTGGAAGAAATTTCCTGGGCCTGAAGAGACGGCTCAGCAGTCGAAAGTGTTTGCTACTCTTGCAGAGGACCTGGGTTCAGTTCCCAGCACCTACATATCACAACATCTGTAGTTCCAGCACTGTGGAGTCTCATGCTCTCTTCTAGCTTCTGAGAGCACCTGGCATGCGTGTGGTGCACATTCATTCACATAGGCAAACACACAGAAGTAGAGAAAGAAGAATTTGACAACACGTGAGTGTACGGATTGGAGGAGTAGATGTGTAGGGAGAGTATCAGCTGTTCTCACGATGGGCTCTGAGCCACAGTTCAGGGTCGTAGCATTAGCTCTCTGCACCAATGTGGTGACTCTCAGGGCGGCTCCAGGGGTCCCTTAAAATCTGGTGACAAAGCCAGGGTGTACAGATGGTTTCTGGTGAGAGTTTTAGGAAATAGACAGGCTGTCGGCTGTGAAGGAAGAAAGGCCTTACCTAGCTGGTAATTGTGTTAGAATGCTTGCTTCGCAGCTAGTGGGAGGATTCAGTTAGACTCCTTTCCTGGCTCAGTTTCCCCTTCTGAGACTTCCATCCCTTTATGTTAAGGTTGAGGGCAGAGGATAGCTGTCTATGTCTTCTTCCACACTGATGGGATGTGGATCCCTGTATTGAGGTGTCTGAAGTCTCCACACTGATGGGATGTGGATCCCCGTATTGAGGTGTCTGAAGTCTCCACACTGATGGAGATGTGGATCCCCGTATTGAGGTGTCTGAAGTCTCCACACTGATGGGGATGTGGACCCTATGATCCACTGACTTTTAGAGAGCCATCATTTGAAAGAAAATATGGAGAAGAGGATGTCATCACACAGGACATCAAATCACACAGCATACAGTAGTTTGTTAGACAGAGAACAGACCCAGAGCAGCAGGGGTCCCTTCACCTTCCTTTGAGATGCCATGCAGCCGAATTGTCAGCAAGCATGACTTGGAAAAAGCCCAGCAGAAACTACTAATGGGATGTGATTTCTTTTCCTGTGGCACTCAGATTAACCGAATTAAAGAGTCAGAGTGTACAAATGGCAACTGCCACAGGTTGAGGAACAGTATGTAGGAAAGAAGTGTTTGGGGCATGATAAAAAATCTTGGGGCCTGGCACAGCAGGGTGACATGTATTTGCAATCCCAGCACTCAGGGGGCAGGGACAGGAATATATTGAATTCAAAACCAGTTTGAACTACATAGTAACACCCCCCCCACACACACACACGTATTCTGGAGGTGAATCATAGGGGTGGTTATACAATAACGCATTTATCTGTAAAAACTGCCTAGATAGCAAATTTTACATTATATGTTATTTATTAACGAAAACATTTAATCCCGGTGGTCAAGAGTCTGGAAACGGAAAAGGGGTTGTGTTGGCACTGAGTGACCCTATGCTCTCCTTGTCTTTCAGGCCTGGAGTCCCCTTGACCGTGCAGGCGTTTTCAGAGGAGGAGAGGAAGCAGTGGCTGGAAGCCCTGGGTGGAAGAGAAGCTGTAAGGACACCGGGGCGTTATTTCTAACCCCGTACGGGGGGATGCCAGCCACGGCATTCCTGATTTAAGGAGTTAAATTTTCCTTTACCCTTAGAAGTTTCTCTTTCTCTGTATAGATTTAGGGCCCAAGTTTTTAAACTTTTATTAATATTAATTTTTGGTTCTTCAACTGGATCTGAGCCAGACTTGTACTCTATCTTTTTGCTTCTGGCCTTTGTGTGTGTGTGTGTGTGTATGTATGCATGCACATTCATGCATGTGAGTGTGTGAGAGTATGTGTGTGTGTGTGTGTGTGTGTGTGTATGTGTGCGTGCGTGCGCTAAGGATGGAATTTAGGGTCTCATGCTGACAGAACTCTTTGACACTCACCAGCACAGATTCCAGCTCCCATGCTTGGCCACTATAACCACGGGGAACTCCAGCTCCAGAGGGTCGAATGTCTTTGGCTTTCATAGTCACCTAAACTCTCACAGATACATAATTTAAAAAACATGGTGGTGCATTCCTTTAATCACAGCACTTGGAAGGCAGAGGCACGCTGATCTCTGACTTCAAGGCCAGCCTGGCTTACATAGAGAGTTCTGGGACAGAACTACAGAGAAAGATCCTCTCTCTAAAATGAAAGAGTTTTGATAGTATGGAGATGTAGTTATGCTAATCCTTTAATCCTTTTGAGTAAGGGCATTTCCTTAACTGTGATGATTTCCCCAGAGCCTCAAGAAGCACGTTAGAAAGTGGGCTTCCATGCAAAAATACCGCGCACACGGGCGCGCACACACACACGCACACACGCACACACACACACACACACACGCACGCACACACACACGCACACACACGCACGCACATGGTAGAGCCTTTGAGGAAAACGGGCTTCCAGTTTGGTTTTGTCTTGAACTCATGATCAGTTTGACTTCCCCTGTGAAGAGCCAGGTCACTGGCAGACAGCGGCTAGGACGAGGGAAGACTGCTCAGTGATGCTGGGTGCCTTGCAGCTAGTGGGTCGGTGCTAGGATTCTGAGAAGCCGCATGACTGCCATGCTAGTCCAGATGCAGCTGCTTAAACTGTGGGCAAGGACTGTCTGCTGCTTTTGTGAACACCAGGAACAGTCAGGAACGGTGGACGTTACTGGTTGGAACGCCGCAGCTTGTCAGCCCGCCCGTCTGTCAGGTGGAGCGTTTCCCGTTTGCTGGTAGCAAGTTCCTTACAGACTGCAGGGCTTTTCAGCTCACTGTTGCCAGTGTGGCATGCCTCTCTGCAGGAGCAAAGCAGACGGAGAGGAGCCCTGTTGGTGTTACTTACTTTGCATGTGAGCGTACAGTAGCCTGCCATTGACCACGGGCGGCACATCCCTCCTGCGTTCTCATTGGGTTACACATGGGAGCTTTCCCACACTACTAGTTGGGACACCGGCTGGGTGTCCTAACAGTTCACTTCAACTCTGACGCCGCTGTCTGGAGTGTTGGTGGCATTGGCATCTAGGGGACTGCTCTGCTTCAGTTTTGCCAGTAACAGGGGCTGGCCTTTGGAACACAGTGTGGTGTGAATTGGGGGATTCCTGGGACCCCCTTCCTTGGGTGTAGTAGTTGGCTCGCAGAACTCAGGGTAAAGGCACACTTTGTAGCGTCTCGTAGAGCGGGCGTGTGAAGCAGTCCATAGGGCCGGTTGTCAAGTGAGGGTGGGTGTTGAAGAGCTCCCATGCCCCTGTAGTAGTGCCACCGTCCCAGCTTTTGATGTACTCATGGGGGAGGGGTCATCAAAGCTTGTTGATCTTACAGGTTAAGCTCATTCCCCAGGTGGAGGCCCAGTGTTAATTCTTTTATCACGTGCAGTATCTAGTTACACCCTTAGGCTGCATATTCAGGTTTCGTTTCCTAAGCTATGTGTTTAGCGTGAATTTAGAGCTGTCCCAAAGGGCTCTTGAATAGCAAAAACGTTTCTATCAGGAAACTCCAGGTGTGTGGGAACTCTGTTCTGTAAAACATGTGCTGCATCATCTAATATTAAATTGATGACATTGAAACTGTGCATGTTCTTATTGACTGGCTCATACTGATTTGCCGAAAGTGCTGAGATTTGTCTCTTTCTTTCTCTTGCTAGCTGTTCCATACTTTTAATAGAGCCATCATCCCGAGACCAGAAGGAGGTAAGTGCTCCCTCACCCCGTTCATCCCCACCCCATGCTGTTGCTGGGCTCATAGGGTGGCCCTCCTGGCCCCATCGGAACCTCACTGTTGAGTCCTTCTGCGCTTATGTAGACAATGGGGAAGTCTTGGTCAGGAAGCCTCCAGCCTTCTGTGCCTCAGGAGGCCTTGGAAGGGGCTGCTCCTTGGCCCTCTCCTCTCAGGCTTCCTCATCCCGCCACTTGTCACTCTAGATAAAAACATAATGATGTTTGGTTGAGAAAAGCTAGATGTTGCAATGGTCCTACACGGGGCGAGCGTGCTCAGGGAGCATGAGAAAAGAGAAGATTCTTAAGGCAAACGTGAGGAGGATTACTTCAGATATTTTGAAACAGTAACCCTTGGCCACAGTGAGTAATAAATAACAAGAGTGACCCCAGTCTGACGGTAGACCCCTAGATGCTGGGCAGATTTCCTTGCGTGAGCAGTTATATAGGGTGTTGGTTCTGTCCTGGGCTGACTGTGGATCCGTGTAGGGTTGTGGATCCGTGCAGGCTGTGAATCTGTGCAGAGCTGTGGGTGCGTGCAGGCTGTGGATCTGCAGGGCTGGGGTTCTGACAGTCTTGTTTTGGTTACCGTCAGGTAGTCAGGACTGAGAACTTTCCTTTCATAAGCCTCCATCTTCATTCTCTTGAGTTGGTTTGATTTTTGGCCACCCATGTGTTCCTGTCACCCTTGCAGCCTCCAAGTGTGTGCTGTACAGGGAACATACACTTAGTCTTGGAAAATAGCAGCAGCAAGGGCAAGCTGAGGTGTTCACATACCGTATGACAAGGACCTGCACAAGGGACAACAAAGCATTGCCACAGTCAGCCCAGGACAGAACCAACAAAGCATTGCCCATCTCTGTACACAGAGTGTACAGAAACAAAAATGCTAAGGCCCGCCACACTGCTTTGAACTCACTTTTGATAGGTTTCGTGAAATTAAGGCTATACTTGGCAAAGCCATAGAAAACCCTGTGTAATGTGAAACACGGTTTCAGAAACAGTTGTGATCACTTGTGCTAACTCTTGAGTCAGAGACTAGAGATCTGTAGCCTGTTGACAGATGCCCCCGAGGGGCCGTGTTCTCCCTCTTTCTTTACTGGTGCCTTCTCTTCCAGCCTTCCTTTCTCTGTCCCTCGTTCTAGCCTTTACCTTTGTCTCCGTCCTCTCTTAATATCTTAAAGAAGTGTAATCATGTCCTCTCCTGTCATCAGTCGTGGATCCTTGAAACCACTGTTCAATTTCACTATTAAAATTTACTTTAAAGACACACAGTGGCATTGCACGCCTTTAATCCCAGTGGCAGGCAGAACTCTGAGTTCAAGGCCATCCTGGTCTACAGAGCCAGTTACAGGACAGACAGGGTGACACAGATAAACCCTGTCTCGGAAAACAAACAAAAAAGTTCACTTTAAGCCCAGTGTTACGGATTCTGAACAAAGTTTATATCCAAGAACTAGAAATCCCCACGAAGCAAGCGTTAGTGCTGCAGTCCCTTAGACCTGACAACAATGGCTAGGGGGTGCTGCTTTCTTTCATTAAAGTTTGGAAACAAAAGAAGGTTTACAAATATATGCCAGCCTGGTCATAAGCAAGCATTTATATTGGAAGCAGTATAAAATTGCATTTTCCATTGGCCTGTTCTATCACATGAATCGTCTATTTTAAATTCAAAATTTGAAAGCAATAAAATCATTAAAAAGCCTTGGTGCATAGTGAAAATTATCAAAATACTGCCAAGAAAACATTTAACAGAAATTTTTACTAAGATTTTCCTTTCTGTGTTAAGCAGAAGCTCAGACGCACATTGAAAAGTTTTCATTCATATTTGGAGTTTTCTCTAATTGAACTACTCTTAGGATTTTTGGCAAAACACAGAGATTATTTCTAGGTAGCTTCCCTTAGAAATTGCTCTTATTTTCTTTTATGGTTTAAAATAATCTGTACTATTAATGTAAAACATTTTATATTACAAGTTGAATTATAATAGTTGGACATCTTGATTTTCATCATGGAACTCCTATAAATACATAAATTACGCAGGAAATATGCAGCCTTCAGCAGTTTTAAAATAGGTGAAACAAACATTCTAGTACCTTAGATTGTTTTTTCTTTTTTTTTTTTCTTTTAAAGGAAAGAACACAGTAACTACTTGTCCCTTAACATTTTATAACTGTTTCTTTTAGGTGCACAGTTGGATACGTTGGGATTCACAATTCTCAGGAAATGCATCAGTGCTGTTGAGACACGAGGTAATGGTCACGCTTGCTCAGTAGGTTCATTCCTGGAGGTGTGTAACACCGGAGACCACTGCAGCATGCGGTCACATGTGCTGGAGGTCTGGAGGTGTGTAACACCAGACACCACTGCAGCATGCGGTCACATGTGCTGGAGGTCTGGAGGTGTGTAACATGGGAGACCACTGCAGCATGCGGTCACATGTGCTGGAGGTCTGGAGGTGTGTAACACCAGACACCACTGCAGCATGTGGTCACATGTGCTGGAGGTCTGGAGGTGTGTAACATGGGAGACCACTGCAGCATGCGGTCACATGTGCTGGAGGTCTGTAGGTATGTAACACCGGACACCGCTGCGGCATGCGGTCACATGTGCTGGAGGTCTGGAGGTGTGTAACATGGGAGACCACTGCGGCATGCGGTCACATGTGCTGGAGGTCTGGAGGTGTGTAACACCAGAGAGCTCTGCATCATGCGGTCACAGGTTACTGCACACTCCTGAGGTCTGTAGGTATGTAACACCAGACACCACTGCAACATGCGGTCACATGTACTGGAGGTCTGTAGGTGTCTAACACCGGAGACCACTGTGGCATGTGGTCACATGTGCTGGAGGTCTGTAGGTATGTAACACCAGATACCACTGCATCACGCGGTCACATGTGCTGGAGGTCTGGAGGTCTGGTAATGCCAGACACCACTACAGCACTTAGTTACATTTTACAGCATAAAAACTCTTTCTAGATAGCAGGGTCAGTTATTCCTTTGTTATGGCAGTGTGGGTCCCTATATTTTCTCCTGTGCAAATGTGGGTTAACTTCACATATTTCTTCTTTATGTTAAAAAAGGAGGCCATTGTTAAAATGGAATCGCATTTGCTTGTTAGATCCACTTTCACACGAAATACCGCAGGGTAGGTGACTGAGGTGCAAATGCTTCCTCACTGTCCTAGAGGCTGGAAGGCCAAGTGCAGGGGAGATGGCGTTAGTTTCTTCTGCGGCCTGTACCCTGGCTTGCAGATGACATCTCCCATTGTGTCTTTTCTGTGAGTATACACGTCCCTGATGTCTGTTTCGTGTATTTAGATTGCTCTTTGTGTATTTATGGATTCAAATCAGGCTCATGGCAGAGGTGTGTGTGTGCGTGTGCGTGTGTGTGTGTTCGTGCGCGCGCGCGCGCGTGCACCCAATTTTAATAACCTCACCATCTTCTTAAAGTCCCGTTTGTTTTTTTTGGGGGGGTGATGGGGTTGGTTTTTTTGTTTTTCTTTTTTTCAGACAGGGTTTCTCTGTGTAGCTTTGGAGCCTTTCCTGGAGCTCACTCTGTAGACCAGGCTCATCTCGAACTCATAGAGATCCACCTGCCTCTGCCTCCCAAGTGCTGGGATTAAAGGCATGCGCCACCACCACTAAAAAATGTTACATTCCAAGGTTCTGATGTTAGAACTTTACAGTTCAGCTTGTGCAAATCATTGGAAGAATCAGCAGTTGGAAAGCTAATTCTTACCATTTTGTTTAAGCACCTTAAAGATGGTTTTCTTAATCTTGCGGGATACTATTAAACCTTACTTAGTGGAAGAGGCTGGGATGTTCAAGGCTCTGGGTTAGTACACATACATATACACTTTTGAAAATAGTAAAATTCAGTGATCTTTCATAATAAGATGTCTTTATTAATTCTTTGACTATTTTATACAAGCATACCATATTTTGATCATATTCATCTCACACTTCTGAATTCTCTTAGAACCATAGCTACCTCCTTCCAACCTCATCTCCTTATCTCTTTCAAATAATTCACTGAGTCCAGTTTTTGCTCCCCTATCCTCATGGTGTGGGGCTATGCTAGATAGTTTTATGTCATCTTGACACATGCTAAAGTCATCTGAGAAGAGGAAGCCCCAGTTAAGAAAATGCCTCCGTGAGACTGGGCCATAGCTAAGCCTGTAGTGCATTCTTTTAATTAGTGTTTGATGGGGGAGGCCCAGCCTGTTGTGGGTGGGACCATCCCTGGGCTGGTGGTCCTGGGTTCTATAAGAAAGCAGGCAGAGAAAACCTTGGGGAACAAGCCAGTAAGCAGATCCTCTCCATGGCTCTGCCTCAGTTCCTGCCTCCAGGTTCCTGTCCTGTTTGAGTTCTTTTGCTGTTTTCCCTCAGTGTGAAAGACCCCCAAAGGGAATCTTCCCGGCAGGAGACCCTTGCCCAAAAATCGAGACAGAGCCACTGGATGCAACAGCAAGAGGGTTCTTTATTGCTCACACAGGCGCCTGCGGATGCTGCAGCACTTTGGGAGGCTGAGCATACAGGGATGGATTTAGTACAGCTTATATAGAAGCAGGCTTTATTTGCATATGAAGTCCTGCAGACCTTGCTAGAGTGGCTCTCAATCAGGTCTGGCAGGCTTGATATGCAAAATGAGGTAGAAGGCAATAGGGTACTCGTCTTGGTGATATCACAGCTTTTGAATTTTGCACTCTTAGGAGGGGCGCGGTTTACATGAGTGCGGTGGGGGTCTTTCAAGTGATGAACAGTGATTTGACGCCAGTAAGTGCTTTCCTCCCCAGCTTACTTGTGATCACGTTTCATTGCACCAAAAGTAGCCTTGCTAGGACAGAGACCTCACTGGGGTATGGCAGACCCAACAGGGAGTGTGGAGGATCCAACAGAGAGAGAGTGGAGGACCCAACAGAGAGAGTGGAGGACCCAACAGAGAGAGAGTGGAGGACCCAACAGGGGGAGTGTGGAGGACCCAACAGAGAGAGTGGAGGACCCAACAGAGAGAGAGAGAGTGGAGGACACAACAGAGAGTGTGGAGGACTCAACAGAGAGAGAGTGGAGGACCCAACAGAGAGAGAGTGGAGGACCCAACAGAGAGAGAGTGGAGGACCCAACAGAGAGAGAGTGGAGGACCCAACAGAGAGAGTGGAGGACCCAACAGGGAGTGTGGAGGACCCAACAGGGAGAGAGTGGAGGACCCAACAGGGAGTGTGGAGGACCCAACAGGGGCAGAGTGTCAGGACCCAGCAGGGGGAGTCTAAAAGCAAACTGACTCCCTCTGGAAGCCACCTGTTGATAGCTGCTCAGTTAGCGGTAGGGTTTGGAAATGAAAAGTTTGGATTTCATCTGTTCAGTTGTGTTGCTACTGCTGTCACAGCCTTAGATTGTTTATGTCCTCCATGCTCCTCTCTGTCCCTTTACAGTCTTTTGCCATTCCCACCTTGATAAGAGCCACACAGACATTTGTAACAGACTTGATGACGTATTCTAGGATTCCCTGGTGGTCTTTATGATTCCTGGGTTCAGTCCAGATCTGTGAAGGACCATTGTTGGTCCTAGTGAAACTGGCCTCCTGTAGAACAGCCATGTGACCAGAGGGGGGCGGGGTTCTATTTGGCTGTGGGGACAAGAGTGGACACGGGAGGTTTCTGTGCATGGAGCTTTGGAGATTTTAGGAGAGTGAATATGGACGTAGAGGAAAGTCTCCATCACAAAACTTGGAAAGTCTCCATCACAAAACTTCTCAGTGTGGCTGAATTTCAGCGTGTCTAGCCAAGGGAACAGTGTCAGGTGTTTTGTAGACAAGGGCGAGCCCCTAGGAGACACTGCTGACCTCCGTCTTCTCCATCTTTCTCTGAGTTGTTTTTATCCCAAGACATTAGTGCCTCTCCTCTGTTGCTCAGGCCCTGGCTTTGCTAATTACATTTCCTGTATTTACTTTGTTTCTGAAAATATACTATTTCCTTGGAATGGAGAAAATGTCTTCCTTATTCCTTGTGTTTCTTATTTCTGTTAGCACCGAGTGCCTTTTGTGTGTAGTCAGCCTCTGTAAGCAATCTCTTTGGTGTGGACATTCAAGAGACAGGGCCGACCTACCAGACTGGCAGATTGACAGATTGCTCGCCGTAAAATTATTGGAAGGGCTTGTTTTTATGTGGTTAGGATTAATATTTTCATTTAACATATAGGAGCTTCACCCTGTTAGATGCCTGTGCCAGCATCTTTCTGGATTATGGGTAATATAGAACACAGAGAAAGAGGAAAGTTTTCTGAGCGGGAAGTATGATTATATAATTTTCTCAAGTAAATAACTCCTCTTCCTAGAAAGGAAACATGCCAAGTTTGTTGGTTTTTTTTTTCTCGATGGGCCTTGCAGAACACCCAATTTTGAGGTATATGTATGGCATTGTAAACAAAAACAGTAATTCTTTTGTTTAAAGACATCTTAGTTACTGTTTTTTAAATAGTCATTATGTTAAAACTAAATTTGTATGTCACTTTTGTTTACGAAGTTTCTCTTAAAAGTCTTCCATATGTGCATAATTTGAATATTCCCTTTACTTTTTTAAAGCATGGCATTAAAATGTTAGTCTAGGCAAGCTGTCAGTTATGAAATTCAGCATCGTAACAGGCTGTGAATTCATGGGGTGGATAAGTCATGACAGGCCTTGATTTGTCACATGTAAAGCAATTCCTCTTCCTTTGAACAGCAAGGTTTTAGATTCCTGGAGACTCTTCTTGACACTGGCTGAAGACCGTGCCGTTCCCATGCGGTGCTTCGGCTGTTGGGGGCTGATGCTGGGCTGGGGCCTCACCATTAATCTCTGAAGGTGGCTTTGGGTGGGGAGGTGCCCGAGGGGAGTGGCGGCACATTTCCCCGTGATTGCACATTAATCCTCAGTCACCAAGGGCGGATTCCAAGCGAAATGAGGGAAATAAAGAACAGCTGCCCTCAGAAAAGTCACACAAGGGAACAGCTCCTCGCACTCGCCGTCTCTGTTTAGTCAGTGTGGGTGTGAGGTGAGCGTGGGCGTAGAGGACAGTCTCCTGTGGGAGGAGCGAGCTGGAGAGCCATGTGGTACCCGCAGAAATGCAAATGGAGGATGGAAAGACTGCAGCCAGGCGGGTTAGGGCTGAATATTCATTCCCTCAATTAGCCGGCTCACTCATTTTTAGAAAACTCACTCTGAAAATCTATTAGCCTTAAATGGATAATCGAGTTAAACTAGTGTGGGTAAA